AGAAAACAGCTCTTACTGGAGTTAACGTCTGTCTGTTACAACTAACTTGACCAGAAAACAGCTCTTACTGGAGTTAACGTCGGTCTGTTACAACTAACTTGACAAGAAAACAGCTCTTACTGGAGTTAACCTCGGTCTGTTACAACTAACTTGACAAGAAAACAGCTCTTACTGGAGTTAACGTCGGTCTGCCTTTGACAACTATCCTAAACAGAAAAGAGCTGTTACTGTAGTTATAATGTCTATCTGTGACAACTGGCCTTAAAAATAGAAAACAGTTTCTAGAGTTACAACAACAATTGTCTGTGATAACCACCTAGAGCAGAAGACAACTGTTACAGGAGTTACAGCACCAACTGTCCCAGACTAACTGTCACGGACAACTTCCCTAAGCAGAGAGTAATTTATCACAATGTCTGTCCATTACAACTACCCTAACAATATATAGAGGATCTAGCACGAGTGTTCATGTTATATTGAATTTATTGAACGAGTATATTAATTTCATATGAAATGAGCCTTTGGCGAGTTTCATATGAAATTAATATACGAGTTCAATAAATTCAATATAACATGAACACTCGTGCTAGATCCTCTATTTATTATATAATATAAGGCTTCTGCAGTGCAATAAAGGGGTGCAATAAAATTGATATTGAACGTGTGCAATAAAGATGCAAATGAGCGCGCGAAAGGCTCGTTTCATATGAAATTAATATACGAGTTCAATAAATTCAATATAACATGAACACGAGTGTTAGATTCTATTTATTATATAATTCGAGAAACCTACCTACATAAGTGGTTTCAATACTAACGTCTCTATATGCAATGACGACGAGAAAGGACGCATCACATATACTAATTTGAGAGCATGTTCCGCTAACAAAAGTAGTCCGCAGAATTTTATCAGAATAATAAATGGCCAACAGTTTTACTTTTAACGATCATTTTAATTGTGATAACAATTGAAATAATAAAAGTTTACAAAATATGACTTCTTTTTTTTCGCTTCGGAAAAAAACTGTTTTTTTTCATCGGTGACGTCATGAACAGTGTAAGAGCGCGCGCACTGTGAAGGTCGTCGGAAACCGAAAACACATGTGTTGGATATTAGGCCTACTGAGAATCACTGTCACTTTCTATAACACGGGCGCGTTTTTTCAGAGGAGGTCCTTGGTAAACATGAACTTGTATGTTTCCTCCTGTGACAGCACCTGAAAAGATACTTTGGAAACCGCCCTGGACCCTGACAACAGAGGAAGTTGACTGGTTACACGCCATTGATTGTTGTGTCAGTGATGTTGTGTTGCATCCGGTCTCAGGTGCTGTTGGATTTCCGTGCAGTATTTTGGAGATTTCTTTGTGTTGATTCGTGTTGATGTGTGAATAATTATTAATAGAAGAAATGTTTCGGTGACCAGAAATTTGCATTATATGGTTAGCGGGGATGTTATTATCGTTCAATTTCTGGACAAGATATTTCCTCGCACTGTGATTTGACAAGTGTTTGTCAGTTTGGATTCCTGCTCCCTTTATGGCACGTTGCATCATGGATTTTAGCTTGTTGATACCAACGGGTTGGCGCTTGAACCAAGTCTCATGACTTCCAGGTGAGCTTTTTGTTGTAGTAGCTATATAAAATGGATCTGATCCTTTACAGTAAGTCGTAGGTCTCATATCTGCATAGCATTTGTAAACATGAACAGGACACCTTTCGGGATTTTCAGTGTTTGCCCACAATTTTGGTTTTACTTTGCGTACATCACGGGTGTTCTCCCCTGTCCTGGTTTTTGTTTGTCTTTCCGTAAACTCTAGATATTCATGTCCGTCAGTGTGGTTTTGTAGTGTAACGTCCCCCCAGCACATATCGCGATGCTCCGCTGATCCCCGTAAACCAAAATGTACTGTATTGAAAAACCAAAGTGTCTGTAAAATAGCGTCAGGGTTTTGAGTTCCAAATTGACCTTTTCTCCACAAAACGTCGATCTCCTCGTCGCTGATAGCATCACTACGGTTGTCAAGGTTACCTTTTCCATCGCGTTTTAACTGTTTTTGTTTACTTTTCAACACTTCTCTAACCTGGGCAAACAGGGGACTAGTAATAATAGCATGACCATAATTAAATCGGCGTAGCTGGCGATCAAAGCTTGACATCATAGATCTGAGACTGTTTGGTTCATATTCAGAACCGTCCACTTTTCGGACACTCATGAAAAATTGGGAAAGCAACGGAGATAATTCGGGAGGGGGTATGTTTTGAATACTTCGGGATTCGTTGATTTCTGGAGTTTCGAAAAAGGCTTTCAATACTTTCATGTCATTCCACGTTTTCAGTAGAGTGTTCTTATTTGATTGTTGTTCAATGAATGACCCAATTTCCGTTTGTTGGACCGGAACAAACCTTTGAGTTTGGTTGGGTGTCGTCTGCTTTTGTGGTAGCGAGGACGACTGAGTCATAGTCTGGGGTATTGGCTCTAACCGATCACCTGGCAAGTCAACCTCAATATCACTTCCCTCGATTAAAACTCTATAAAATGTTGCAAATCCCATTGGAACAAGTTCTTGTACTGTGCCCCTACCTTTGCCGTCAATTCGAACAGAATCCCCAATGTTTACGTCAGCCATGTTGTAGTAGGCCTATACTATAGTAGTAGTAGTAGTAGTAGTGCGTAGGAATACGACCTAGTTCCCACGGTGTCGCGCGCTCATTTGCATCTTTATTGCACACGTTCAATATCAATTTTATTGCACCCCTTTATTGCACTGCAGAAGCCTTATATTATATAATAAAATTGTTTAAGATTGACATCGGCCTATCTCATCTCAGCAGAGCTGTGAGATACCTATTCTGATATTACTGTCACAGATCCCCATTCTGATACACTGTATTACTGTTATTCTTACCAACAAAACCACTGTCAATGCTTACCACTGGGGTTCCGATGTCTATTAACGACTTGTCTCCTTCTTTACAATGTTTACTGAGGTTTATCACTTTCCCGCTGGGAGAAAAACCATTTTTACATACGTCTCCAGGAATCTTTCTGAATCTACAATAAAACATTTCAAACAATGTTAAATACGAAGTCTACAGACCTGCACAATCATTATCAGCAATATAAGTTCTGGATAACAAAAGTATATACGGATAACATATGTTACTTTTACTGGTACCTTTTATTAAGGGGGGGGGGGATGGATGGGGTATCTTGCAATCCAGAGTAAAGTTGTTTATTTTCAAAACAGAAACATTTTCAACAGATTAGTACACAGATATTAGTATACGATACAAAGTGTAAAACCAATAACAACAAAATTGGTAATTTAAACAACACACAAATCGAATACCATGGCAGAGATGATATTAACCAATGATTTTAATCAATCAACTTTATTCTTGGGCACAAACGGATGTCAACACTTTTGTTTTTTATGATTCGGCTAACTTGAACAACTCACCCCTCTGTGATAATTTCCTCCTCCCTTCCTTGCATACATATATCTAAGATAGTCATAGACCTGTTACGGAGACAGTCTAGTCCACCAACAGGTCGATAATAGCCATAGTCACTGTAACAGAAGTAATAGGTCAGAAGCCAGGTGGAGTGAGGTGTATAGTAAGCATAGCCCCTATACAGTCAAACTTCAATTTTTCGAACTTTGTCAGACACTGAGACAGTCAGGAAAATTTCAAATAATCGAAACTTTCACTCCTGAATGTTGAACTCTGAACATCTTTCAGATCCTGTATATACTGCACAAGACTGAATGTGTTTGTAAAGTGACGGTTCACATGGTAAGAAATTTTTAATTTAAAAATTTATTAATATTGGATTTAAAGTACAGTAATTAGAAAAATATTTTTACATTTATACACTCTATTTAAAATGACTGCGGGACAGTACAATGTTCTTGTACTGGTAATTGATTTATTTCGATTTAATTTTGTAATTTTTAATGTTTTCATAACGATCCGACCTCGATTATAATTCGGAACCGTGTTAAGTTCGACTCATGAAAGTTCAATTCATTAATGGAATATCAGTAGTGTTATATAAGGGGGGAAAGTGCAATGTGGACACATCATTTGATTTATAGAAGTTTGACTGTACCTGTAAATCACACCAAATTATTTATTTCATTCTATAGCCTTACTTGTCCTGACCATATAGGATAGGACTTGTTTAAGTGTAATTAAGACAAACCCATTAGCCTCATTAACTCCCACATAGGATAGGACTTGTTTAAGTGTAATTAAGACAAACCCATTAGCCTCATTAACTCATTCAGTTCTAATTTAACAGTGTATATATAAATTCTGCAATCACAACATTTCTCTTAGCTGAACACCTGAACATCACATGTTTCAAAAGGAGTTTACTAGATAAATATATTTACATAATAAGTTGAAAATCTACACACCAATATTAAATACATCTTCTCAAATTAATATCTGAGTTTGCGAGTTCAATTCTTGATATTTATACACACATGTTCTCCTTTTTAGTACGTTAATGTACAATAATATCTGTGACATTATGTGATTTGAATTGCACTGCGATATCTTTGTCAAATCAGCCATGTATCAGGTATACTTAAGATACATCTGTAATACAACTAGCTTGTTACATAAATGAAGCCAAAATACCATTCAAAATCTTCCCGGGAACAGGTACACGGTTGGACATCTTTTTCTACTACGTAATCATAGCCATTGTGACACCTGAAACATAAAGACATATCATGTGCCTTCATCTCCAATACAGGGAAATATTGTTATAAAACAGTACAATAAATCTATCATCTCCAATACAGGGAAATATTGTTATAATACATTACAATAAATCTATCATCACCAATACAGGGAAATATTGTATTCTTATATAGAAATTCTCATAATTTATATTACAACTGCTACAAATGCACAAGTAAACTTATGGTCGAATAATCTCCGGCCAAAACGAACAACCATACTGACAGCAACCAATTATGGGCCGGACCTCAAGTTTAAGTTGCTTAGCTGACAAGGGCACATATATTTTAACAACAGAAGCAAGCAAAGAAATTAAATCAGTACTAAAACCTGAGGCCCGTATGTGGAATTCTTCTGTCACAATTTGTTACAATGGTTACATATAACTTTGAATAAAACATTTCAACCTAACTCTTTGTCAAAGTAAATTATGACGAGCCAGTTATGCAAGCTGATTTTTCAAAAAAAGTACCCAATATGGACTTCAATAGTTCTGTTACTTTTCGTACCCAAACTTGATGCGTCTGCACAATCACAAATATAGTTAGATACGAATGATCTGGCTTTAATTGATCACTAGATGGAAAGTTCTTACTTTTATTGAAAAAATGATGTGCACTGGAAATAATTTACTGTACGTATTATTGATGTTGATCTCCAGGTGAATTCATCAATAATTTCATTCTTACCATGAATCTGGTTTTAATCTTTTGAACATCTCTTTTTCTCCCAGTAGACAGCCCTTCATTGATTCACTTTCGTATTTGCGCACAGTTTCATGTGCAAGCCATTCCTCATAATCATTGCTCGTGCCTGCAAAATAATTCCATGAATACCAATTATTAATATATGTACAATATGATTGTGTCTACATTTTGCGGTAGAGACTGCTTTAATAATTATTCTTCACATCATACTATAGCAAGATATTTTACTAGACAGAAAAATAAGTATTATACTTGCAGCATATATTTTCTTTAAAAGACGGTCAAACTTCCATAAATCGAACTGCGAAGATTCAAATTTCTTGATGTGTCGAACTAACGCCAAAGTCCGAAATTTTTCTTTTATATTACACTACTGATATTTTATTTATGAATCAAACTTTTATGAGTCAAATTTCTTGCTGATTCGAAGTATCACATAAGAATCACATTCTGTCTCATGTACATTATCTTGATGTTCGATGTTCAATACTTGTGAGCTGAAGTCCCGAAACCTCGCCAGTATATAGCCAGTTCCTACACAACCGCATCATAAACATCTTTTGGGAGAATCTCAACGAACCAAGTTAAGTAGAAATATTCACAAACGTGCAACACTTACCTAGAAACCTAATCATTATTTCTTTGTACACTTACACTGTTGCTTGAGGATACTTTGAAAGTCAAACACGTAGGCGGTCCACTTCCTGTTGTCTGGGTGATAGCCCCAGATAGACACAGTCATGGAGGTAGAGCCAGGTTCGGTCAGCAGACCAGTAAACTTGATTGCCTCCGTGTCGTTCTTGATGAATGTGTAGGAGTGCCAGCAGCGTCCCTCATCCGTGGAAAACTTGATGACCTTGGGTTTGTCTGTGTCTGACGGTACAGCCACCAGCAGGCTGCCACTGTCTGCTATGTGGTAGTGATGGGGTCCGTCCAGGGCCTAAAACAGGTCCTTAACAGGCTAACTAAAGGTCAAACACAACTTATCAAAGGTCAAACATAGCTCTTCCCAATTCAAACAAGTTAAAATCAAACACAGTTTGTTAAGATGACCAACAGCTCACTTTAATAATGCAAAACTGAAGAAGACTAGAAAATGTCTGTTAGACATAAATGCCCCTGCTCATGGATGGGATGGGACGGGATGGACATGGGCAACATTATATTATATGCCCCCCCCAATTTTATGGCGGGGGCATTAAAAGAAATAGATAATAGTGTTTGTTTCATAGAGCAGTAAAGAATATGTCTTATCTGGGATAAAAACTTTAAATTTGAAACAGAAAATTTGTACTAATACTGTTTTACAATTGATTCCTTATAACACCAAAATCATAGCACAGCTAGAGTTACCTTGATCCACTTGTATCCTCCGTCTCGTGTGATGTAGACATCTGGGTGTGTTGTCTGAAGGGCATCAGCTATATGTCCTTTAAAACAAAATGAAAACTTGTTTTATTACTTTTCTTATATCAAAATATAAAAAATATCATTAAGCAAGTCATGTTCTATACTAGGGCTGTCACAATATATCGGAAAACAGGTATAACACAATACACAGGTATGTCATATCGTACCACAATACAGAGATGAAATATTGCTGTATCGCAATATTTTTCAAAAGTATATTTTTATGTATCTGCTTGGTGTTTTACTTTGCAAATTACTACAAATTCTAACAGATATGCTAATAAGCATAAGGCAGGCTTTTAATAGTTCAAATTTTGTAATCGATGGTTGGTTTGACAAAAATCGTAAATCTATGTAATCCATATTATATATGATTAAGTTTGATAACAATATATCGGGATACGCATCGCAATATATTCATTCTGTATTGCAATCTACCGTGATACACTCTTGGCATATTGTGACAACCCTATTCTATAGAATTTCAGGAATGCTGCAAGGAACTTCCTTAGGACCTTTTCCCTTTCTAGTCAGCATCAGCAACCTTATAGACAGCATGATGATCAGAATCATGTTCATCTTATTGCTTTACCAAACTTGTAACACAGGAAGATCACAACTTAGGAAAATAATATCAACCCACTTCTTAAGACACAACCAGGATCTCAAGTGGAAACATCTCGGCCATGACAAACAGACTTCCACAGACTTCAATCTGCTGAATACAAATTCCGTCTTTGCGTATTGCAGAGTTATCTCCTCTAATGAGCGGGTATTGATTGTTACGTCATTTGTTTGTGAGAGTACGTAACGTCATCATTTTTTGAGAAAACAACATAATTTTCTTACACGAACCAATGACGTAACAATCAATACCTGCTCACAAGAGAAGAAAACTCTGCAATACGCAAAGATGGAATTGCAATACGCAAAGACGGAATAGCCACAACACAAGAATATTTCAACCAAAGAGAACATTACAAAATTTTATATTTCATATTTCATATGCATTTGAATCGACTCTATAGTATGAAGTGATTTACTGGTTTGGTTGTCTCAAACCTAACATATCAATTGTCTCAATTTTTCACATAACCCTTTACTGTTTCATGGTTATTAGGTTCAAATGAATCTTCAAATGAAAAGCCGACATTAACATCAAATACACCATCAAATACACATACCATGTACCATGGCCACGCCGATGGCACTAGACACACTGATCGGAGACTGGGCGAGGATTCCTCGGGTAATGCTGTAGGTACCATGTATCTGTAGGTTACAATCCTGTCACAAAGATAAAACTCCGACCATGAAAATCAGGGAATTCAGTTACAATCTGGGTCATTTTTATGATGTCATCAGCTAGTGTAATTTTTGCAATTTCAAGATTATATTTCATATAACTTGATATAATCTATGCTTGACTAACAAAAACAAATATTGTAGAATGAAAACACACCTTTTTCTCATCTTTACAACTACCCCCCTCTGGGCGTGGGATAGGCTGCCAGCTCCCCCCCTGGTTATAGGTGATCATGGAGTGGATACTGTCATCCGCACTCATCTGACTGGCAATATAGACTCCCCGCATAGAGTCCATCCTGTAGAAGTCAGTGGTGTCCCCGTAGTTGGGGTACAAGTGTTTCTCCAGGGAGCGCGAGTAGATCACTCCCTTCCCTCCTGATGTGTACAGTGTACCGTGACCAGTGTCTGCAATCAAAGTGTACATGTGGTATACTAACAACAAAGTGTACATGTGGTATACTTACAACAAAGTGTACATGTGGTATACTTATAACAAAGTGTACATGTGGTATACTAACACCAAAGTGTACATGTGGTATACTAACCACAAAGTGTACATGTATACTAATACTTCTAACAACAAAGTGTACATGTCTTATACTAACAACATAGTGTACATGTTGTATACTAACAACAAAGTGTACATGGGGTATACTAACAACATAGTGTACATCTGGTATACTAACAACAAAGCGTACACGTTGTATACTTACAACAAAGTGTACATGTGGTATACTAACACCAAAGTGTACATGTGGTATACTAACAGCATAGTGTACATGTGGTATACTAACAACACAGTGTACATGTGGTATACTAACAACACAGTGTACATGTGGTATACTAACAACATAGTGTATATGTGGTATACTAACAACAACAACAACAAAGTGTACATGTGGTATACTTACAACATAGTGTACATGTGGTATACTAACAACAAAGTGTACATGTGGTATACTAACAACAAAGTGTACACGTTGTATACTTACAACAAAGTGTACATGTGGTATACTTACAACAAAGTGTACATGTGGTATACTAACAACAAAGTGTACATGTGGTATACTAACAACAAAGTGTACATGTGGTATATCAAATTGTTCTCATTAAATATTATACTGTACTACATATATTTCAATCGCAAACTTTTTTGGCTCAATTGGTAGAAGCTACCAGCCAAATATTATTATATGATTCTATGCTTTTCGGTTCTTAAGAAGAGGTTGTTTGAAGTGTTCCTGTAATCCTGTAAGTAGCTCGAGGTCATTTTCCTTCTCAAACTTTATTGGCTCTATCCCAAGCTGGCTCTATCCCAAGCAGCTACCAGCTGCCAAATCTTCAGAACAAGCAGTTTGAAGTGTCGTTAACCTCTATGACCTTTAAAGTTGGTTGAGGTCATTTTCATTCACATACTTTGATGAGCTCCATCCCAAGAAGCCACAAGCCAAATATTATGATTCTATGCCTTTCGATTATTCATTCTATGTTTTTGACATATTTGACCCATGTGACCTTGAAAGTAGGTCAAGGTCATCTTCATTCGCAAACTTCGTCAACCTCAATCTAAAGAGGATACAGCCAAATATTAAGACTCTATACCTTAATTCATTTCTTCAGAAGAAGTCCTTTGAATTGTTTGACATATTTGACCTCTGTGACCTTGATAGAAGGTCAAGGTAATTTTCACCCTTTGACTGGCTCACACGAATGAAGCTTTCAGCCAAATATCATGACTCTAGGCCTATCCATTATTCAGAAGAAGTCGTTTGATGTGTTTGACATATTTGACACATATGACCTTGAAAGTAGATCAAGGTCATTTTCGTAGATCAAGGTCATTTTCGTTTTCAAACTTTGTCAGGCTCTTGCAAATGAAGCTTTCAGCCAATTATCATGACTCTATGCCTGTCAATTATTCAGAAGAAGTTAATTGAATTGTCAAAAATCCTCCAAATCCTCATAGAATATATAGTTTGTTATTATGCACTTTACAGACATTATATTTAGAGGTTATTCAGGTTAGACGAGGGGACAAATAAAAACACATATGTGAATCAACCTTTACAGTACACCAAGACAGTGGTTTCGGCTCTACTACCCTCTAATACTTAATAATGTCCTATACACAAACCTCCTGGATCATCCACATGCATGAAGACTAGATCCTCTTCCATGTCCATGACCGAGTAAAACTGAAATCAAACAGAAATACAAGGTCAATAGAGACCGATTTTCATCAATTTTACATATTTAAACAATTTTTAAATAACTTACATAAAGATACAGGGGAAGTGTTCTTGATACTGAACTTTTAGAATGTCAGAACAAATCATAGTATAACACATACAAATGTACAAATACTTGAGGAAACAAATTACAATCTTTCCTTTTAAAATGAAAGTGACTTTTTCCTACATTAAAAAGATAGTACTGACTTTATAAAGAGGAGAGCTTGTAAACCAATTATTAACAGTGATAGTGACTTACCATGTCTGAGTCTAGTGTTGGAAGCTTGGCCTCAAACAAATGGTACTGACTTCATAAAGAGGAGAGCTTGTAAAAAAATTTATTACAGTGATAGTGACTTACCATGTCTGAGTCTAGTGTCGGAACCTGTAGAGCTTGTAAATAGCAGTGATAGTGACTTACCATGTCTGAGTCTAGCGTCGGAAGCTGTAGAACTTGCAAATAACAATGATAGTGACTTACCATGTCTGAGTCTAGCGTCGGAAGCTGTAGAACTTGCAAATAACAATGATAGTGACTTACCATGTCTGAGTCTAGTGTCGGAAGCTGTAGAGCTTGTAAATAACATTGATAGTGACTTACCATATCTGAGTCTAGTGTCGGAAGTTGTAGAGCTTGTAAATAGCAGTGATAGTGACTTACCATGTCTGAGTCTAATATCGGCGCTGTTGAGCTTGTAAATAAGAGTGATAGTGACTGACCATGTCTGAGTCTAGTGTCCGAAGCTGTTGAGCCTGTAAATAACAGTGATAGTGACTTACCAAATAACAGTGATAGTGACTTACCATGTCTGAGTCTAGTGTTGGAAGCTGTAGAGCTTGTAAATAGCAGCGATAGTGACTTACCATGTCTGAGGCTAGTGTCGGGAGCTGTAGAGCTTGTAAATAACATTGATAGTGACTTACCATATCTGAGTCTAGTGTCGGAAGCAGTTGAGCTTGGTAATAACAGTGATAGTGACTTACCATATCTGAGTCTAGTGTCGGAAGTTGTAGAGCTTGGAAATAGCAGTGATAGTGACTTACCATGTCTGAGGCTAGTGTCGGGAGCTGTAGAGCTTGTAAATAACATTGATAGTGACTTACCATGTCTGAGGCTAGTGTCGGGAGCTGTAGAGCTTGTAAATAACAGTAATAGTGACTTACCATGTCTGAGTCAAGTGTCGGAAGCTGTAGAGCTTATAAATAACATTGATAGTGACTTACCATGTCTTGAGTCTAGTGTCGGAAGCTGTTGATATTGTAAATAACAGTGATAGTGTCTTACCATGTCTGAGTCTAGTCTCGGAAGCTGTTGCGATTGTAAATAACAGTGATAGTGCCTTACCATGTCTGAGTCTAGTGTCGGACGCTGTTGAGCTTGTAAATAACAGAGATAGTGACTTACCAAATAACAGTGATAGTGACTTACCCTGTCTGAGTCTAGTGTCGGAACCTGTAGAGCTTGTAAATAGCAGCGATAGTGACTTACCATGTCTGAGTCTAGTGTCGGAAGCTGTTGAGCTTGTAAATAAGTGATAGTGACTTACCATGTCTGAGTCTAGTGTCGGAAGCAGTTGAGCTTGTTAATAACAGTGATAGTGACTTACCATGTCTGAGTCTAATATCGGCGCTGTTGAGCTTGTAAATAACAGTGATAGTGACTTTCCATGTCTGAGTCTAGTGTCGGAAGCTGTAGAGCTTGTAAATACCAGTGACAGTGCCATGCTATGTCCGAGTCTAGTGTCGGAAGCTGTAGAGCTTGTAAATGACAGTGATAGTGACTTACCATGTCTGAGTCTAGTGTCCGAAGCTGTAGAACTTGTAAATAACAGTGATAGTGACTTACCATGTCTTGAGTCTAGTGTCGGAAGCTGTAGAGCTTGTAAATAACAGTGATAGAGACTTACCATGTCTGAGTCAAGTGTCGGAAGCTGTAGAACTTGTAAATAACAATGATAGTGCCTTACCATGTCTGAGTCTAGTGTCGGAAGCTGTGGAGCTTGTAAATAACAGTGATAGTGACTTACCATATCTGAGTCTAGTGTCGGAAGCTGTAGAGCTTGTAAATGACAGTGATAGTGACTTACCATGTCTGAGTCTAGTGTCCGAAGCTGTAGAGCTTGTAAATAACAGTGATAGTGACTTACCAAATAACAGTGATAGTGACTTACCATGTCTGAGTCTAATATCGGCGCTGTTGAGCTTGTAAATAACAGTGATAGTGACTTTCCAAATAACAGTGATAGTGACTTACCATGTCTGAGTCTAATATCGGCGCTGTTGAGCTTGTAAATAACAGTGATAGTGACTTACCATGGCTGATTCTAGTGCCGGAAGCTGGAGAGCTTGTAAATAACAGTGATAGTGACTTACCATATCTGAGTCTAGTGTCGGAAGCTGTAGAGCTTGTAAATACCAGTGACAGTGCCATGCTATGTCCGAGTCTAGTGTCGGAAGCTGTAGAGCTTGTAAATAGCAGTGATAGGATAGTGACTTACCATGTCTGAGTCTAGTGTCGGAAGCAGTTGAGCTTGTTAATAACAGTGATAGTGACTCACCATGTCTGAGTCTAGTGTCGGAAGCTGTAGATCTTGTAAATAACAGTGATAGTGACTTACCATGTCTGAGTCTAATATCGGCGCTGTTGAGCTTGTAAATAACAGTGATAGTGACTTACCATGGCTGATTCTAGTGCCGGAAGCTGGAGAGCTTGTAAATAACAGTGATAGTGACTTACCATATCTGAGTCTAGTGTCGGAAGCTGTAGAGCTTGTGAATAACATTGATAGTGACTTACCATATCTGAGTCTAGTGTCGGAAGCTGTAGAGCTTGTAAATAGCAGTGATAGTGACTTACCATGTCTGAGTCTAGTGTCGGAAGCTGGGCCTCAAACCAAGTCGTACCACCATCAGGGGACACCTTCATTAGGCGTGTGTTGGACTGAACAGAAAAGAAACACAATCAATGACATGATAAATAAGTGTTAATTTCTTATATTCTTATTAGAAGATTATGGATAATTTTTTTTTCATAAAAGATCTTCTTGGTTTAAAAAATTCTAGTAAATGAAAACTTGTAAATCAAGTTCATTCTTGATACTGTGTATTAAGTCATTCACCCCCGAAATTTTATACTGAACTATTCCAACCTTTGAATTGGAAGAGTTCAAATGTGCCTCCAGGGGTGGATGAGTTAATTCATGTAATAGAGGAATTTTAAGATTTTATTTCTGGTTAACATTTGTACGAGGAAAAGTTTCTATACTTTTCTGTTAATGCGTTAATTCAACTATGAGAATATGCATAAAATACAGTAGAGTTAAATTGAAATGCAAAAATTACAATACCTGGTACCTCAACATTTTTTTTTAGAACTCTTTAAAAAAGTTTTCGAACCCTCATGATAGCCATTACCAAAATAAACAAACACTCTTCCAACAAAAGTCCAAGCTTACAAACTGTCAACTTTCAAATATTCATAAGTACTCTGAGTATATATAATATAGCTACATAATTCAACACAAGAGAGAAAGTAAGGTAACTGGAAAGTGTCCTTTCTACTTTAAATCACAAAGGGATGATATAGGAACAGCGTCACAGTTCAAAGGTAGGTATTTCTTCCACGGAGAAAAAAGCTTTGTGTTTGAACCATAGGCAAAAAGTTTTTTCTTTGCAAAAGGCAAGGTCATTTAAAGTCAAATGGGGAGAGCATCATGCTTGGCAGTGAATTTGTAAAACTGGTAAACTAGGCAAATAGGCCTGGAAAGACCTCATTTTACTTTTCAAACTCAAACTCAACATATAGGTTCATGTAGCTAGGTTGGATCGGTTGGGGTGAGGGGGGACAGCAAAGTTTAAAGTTGAAGATGGAGTATTTCTAAAGTCAGAAAGCAAGTAGAAGCACCAACAGCCAGTTTCAATGTCACCGTTAAATGTTTTTGGCAAAGTTTAAAATGGAGTCTGTCTATTGCAAAGTCAAAATTTATTTCAGGTAGAGGTTCCACAAATAAATATAATTCATCCAAGTAAGTGTAAGCAGCAACACCAAGTTTGAATGTCACCGTTATAGTTGTTTATTTGACTCAAGGTGAATTCAAACTCAACCGCCACATACAATTATATTAGCCTCCTGGCTTTGTGTTACTGTTGCTATACAGTGGACCTTTCATACCAAAACCCATCAGGTGGTTTTTTTCTGGACAATTAATGGAGATGTAACATTTTTACTTGGTGACATAATACAGTGCATCCAATTTCATACCCAAGGATCATCAAACAGTCGAAGATCAAATTACCAAAGGAAAACAAAACATTTCATGGACATTGATCTAAAGTTACTGAAATAACACTGTACATATATTCAAGAACAAAGACATTGATTGTCAAAATTAATATTTGTATGAGGCACTGAACAAAAGGCAAATTCACTCAAATTTTAACTTTATGATTCTAGATTGTTTTATGATCCATTGACCAGAACCTATGAAAGAAAAAAAAAATCTACACTGCAGTATAAAACCAATGGCCAAGGAATGTTAAACATGACAACCAATTTATGTGTATCTATACCCAATCATCGTCCCAAATTGTCTGCCTCTCCTGCTGTTGCTGCAAATTTTGCAATGAAAATGACACCACATGTCTACATCAACTTTTTCTATTTCTATATATAGCTCATAAAGTCAGATTTAGCCACCTTATTTATCTATATTCATAATTTGCTACAGTAGATTTCTCTTAATATCACTTCCCATTTGTCAGAGAAAAACATGATATTAACAGAAACATGACATAAACAGAATACATATTTTCTGATGTTTTTCAGCCCTCAAAACTTGAAGTAAACTTAGTCAAATGCCTAAGTGATGTGGCTCTACGAAGAAGATTGATATTTTGTAACTAACCTTGTTCTTTACCCTAGTTGAAATATAGATATAAGTAAATAAGTATAGAAATAAATATATTATTTGTATTTCATTTCAGTATGCAGTTACATTTCATATAGTTAGTAGCAAAATGACGATCAGTACAATTGTAATTATGATTGTTTACTGCAGTAGTGATGTAGGCATACAAGTGTTTGGCTGGTATTCTGCATCAAATTCAATTGTAAACATGAGACTTGGTAAATATTTACCTATATCTTGATATATATACTGTTCTTTCGCTAGTAACATCTTTTTATAGGTTAATTTCCTTAGATATTTGCTGCAAGTGTGTAATCGAAGATAGTACACATGTTATAATTAGTTGAAAGAATACATCACACTTGGCATTAGAAAAGTTTACAGATGTTAGACTGTCCTAGCTCCCCCAACCACAGGTGAATATCATGTTAACAAGTATGTAAGTCAACCTATTGTTTAACAGTCAGCCAGGTGTAAAAAATACCCTGTTAGGCCAAGGCATTGTTTACATAATGCGTCCAGGGTGTGACCCCAGGGCATTTATCATGAATTATTACCACCATTTACGTGTATTTTTTTGGTGAAAGTGGCCAAAATAAAGTGATATTAAGAGAAATCGACTTAAAATCAGGTGATAATAAAAGAATTAAATTGCATAGATTATATAGCAGGAAAAACGGTGCATCAAAAAAACATGATAATAACCGAAAAGTGACATTAACAGACGTGATATTAAGTGAAATGTACTGTAATACATGTGCAAATATAAACAGTCACCATACATTAAGATTTTTTTTATTAGAAACATGTTTGGATGAAACCAGTTTTTATTCAAATCACCAAAAATATGTTTTTAACTGATAAGTTATATTGCTGTGTTAACGTCAGTTGAGCCTCATTATTCAGTGGTTTCCCTATATCTAAGACCATAGTTATCCAGCCTGGAATGTTAACTAAAAGATGTTATTAACATTACTTTGCCAAATAATCCTGGGCCCGTATTTATGAAGCAATGGATTTTGTGCTCAAGTCTAATTTCTTGTTCCAGTTATAAATTATTTTTTTAAAAATTGGAGAAAAATTGAAGAAACTTGAAGCCAAATACTGTTTTCAATATTTAAATTTGACTTTTTGATCGTTGACATGATTTAGATGGGTTACAAGAAAGCTGGCTTGACCACAGAATCCATGCTTGAGCATGAGAACGGTTTCATGAATACGGGCCCTGTAATTGGTTTAATACTAGTTTTGTTCAGCATTTCAAATTAAAAAGGTACATTGTTACTTTGTTTTTTTATATGAAATACTTCATTAATCCATAAAGCAATCTGCTTCTGAAATGTCAAGCTGATAGAAATATGAAATAACTGCTCTTTGAATCCAAGTGTTATAAGAAGTTTGAGAACACCAAAGTTCCTACATAGATCCTCACCTGTCCAACCTTTTGAAGTACAGAGGCATACAGGAATTTCCCCTGATGTCCAAACGACATTACGTTCTTCATGATGGGCTTCCAGGTCTTACCAGCATCGGTCGACTTCCTTAATTCATATACCACCTGGTAAACTGTCAACAAAGAAAGACGATACAGTCAAGTAAACTAGACGTGGAAAACATTTTGATAAAAGGTAATCATTTCTTCTATCACTTCATAAGTAGTTTAATTGAAAGAAGATCGTCAATAAGTTTGAAAATATTTCCAGTGTGTAGACTTACAAGCAGCAAAAAATGGATGAGTTCTTTTGGGATCGACTGAAGCATAGATAGTTTCACCCGGCTCAGAAACGTAACCTCCCCTGAACGAAGAAAAAAAGGAACATTTGTTATAAAGTCCTGTCTTGCGTATCGACTATGTGTGTAGCTTAAAATCGTCAGAACTTCAAAATGAGCACATGATAATAAAGTAGTGTTCTACAAAAACAGATTTAATATTTGACAAACTTAAAGAAGTATTGTTCTTCATGACAAAAGTACAAAGAAATTTCAGTTACAATGTGAGGTCATATATTAAAACTGTCTGAAACTATATGTTATGAAAAAAAATCATTGTCATGAGGTTTCTGAAAATGTTATCTACATAAAATGTTTCTGTATCAAAAGTACAATGACTCTGATCTGCGGGATCTGTGGTTATATATTCGACTCACCACTTGAAGGACTCCACATAGTCGGCCACTTTAGACCAGTGGTACCCATTGTCTGTACTAATATACAGGTTCTGTAAATTAGAAATAATAAACATGTGTTAATGTACAGAAATGAACACGATAGTACACAGCCATTCCATGTCACCTATGAAATACTTTTATCTATATTGGCTTCGGTTTAACTAAATGATAAATTAACCAGTAAAGCTTTTGAAAAATTAATCTTTAATATGTTTAATGAAGATTAATACTTGCGATGTTAAATCTTTCTTTATATACTAAAACAATAAGCATAAGTAACAAAATTAAAGGAAAACACCAGTAAAATCATTGTTTGATTTTCCACAACACTTACCGCCATGGATATGTTTTAAATCTCTTTATACATCTTCCACAATATATTACCAAATCTCTTTATAATGCCACTATTTTGTGGTACAAATGGTGATATTCAGTATCAGCTAGCAGGTTTTACTGTACAATTTAACTAGCACAGCACATTCAGTTCTAGTAACATAATGCATTTTTACGAATAAAAGAACTTCTGTTAATTTTGCAGGATTAAAATTTCGCAAACTTCATGAAATTAAAAGCCAGTATCACACTTACCATGACAAATGAATGTGTTTTAAAGTCAATATAATTGTAAGTTTCACTTATCATCATAATGTATTTTACACTGTACATAATCTTAAATCAAATGTCACATAGACCATTGTTTGTATATAATCTGCAATGTATTTAGAAATTATACATATTTAAAGAATCTTGGAACAAAATATATGTAACCTTATACAAAAATATATGCTTTGCTTCAAATAAATGTAAATAATTTTGTGTATAACAGGTAATATTTCGTAAGGAAAAAGAGATAAATTTGATGAAGATAAGTAAACAAATACAGCTACTACATTATGTAAACAGTATCTCAAACGATAAATACACAAGGGATATTTATGTGCTGAACTGGTGCTATAACAATGAGGAACTAGCATTATCTCTACCAGACAAGATACTGTACATGTGTACATACAGGATAGGCTAAGGGTAGTAACAGATACAAACATACAGGTGCTACACACATCATGCTGCAAGCATACACTGTTCTTTGCATGACACCACTTCTTATTTTACTGCAATTTGCTGATTTCAAAATATACACACCATATTGTCTTAACAACTTGTGATATGCCAAGTGGAATGGTGGATTGGCTGTCAAGTTAAGCAGTCAACAATATGGACCACATCCCTTAAGCCTGCAAATCCATATCATGCTAGATAAGCTGGCTCCAACAAAATGCATCATTTCTATACATAACCACAAGAACCGAGCAACTAATTAATTTTGATAGTTATCAACATTCTCTTCTCATACTACACATGTACAGTGTCAGCTCACTAGATACAGTGATGGTGGGTAAATACTGGCCGCACGACACCAACACAGACAACAGACAGTCACCCCGAGTTCATTCTACAGGATATATGTCTAGTACAATTAAATTAATCTACAATCAATTTTTTTATATCAGAACCCGTGAAATCAAATGGAAGGAAAGCCATTTTAGCCATGACATGAAAAAGATGGAAAGCAATTTTTGAAGTACTGTAAAAGCATAATATTTGCATTGGGATTAAATTTTCGTTGTTTTTGTATGGGGACAAATTTGTTGGGATTATATTTCGTGGAATCAATATTTTAAAACTCTGATTTTTTTTTCTGGTAAGCAAGAAGTTTAAATTGACAGGCGTGACGACACAGTGCAGGTAAATACAGCAGAGGTAAGACCGGGCGAGATTTACTCAATCAATGGGTATCGGCCAAATCCGTTACGCTCTATAGTTTATAACTCTTGATTGACAGGCTGTTAATTGTTTGAAGTGTTTATCTCTGTGCCTGTGACGATAATTGCACCTTTAATCATGACTTGTGTCTAAATGTAAACACAACCTGGATTTGTAATTAAATTAATAGTTTATTTAATATTTCCGTTTAGTTTATATTTTGTGTGTATACAATTTTGTTTCGAAGTTATAAGAATATTTTGTTTTTTTATAATACCACAAAATAAATGAAATTAACTCCCTAACGAAACATTATGCTTTTACAGTATGTTACAAGTGGTGAAACAGATATATAGACCAAACTTTAGATATTTGACAGATTTATAATGAGTTAAATCATACACAAATTTATTATATACAGGTTCAGATGTAAAATGTTTAGAAATATCGTTACCCAGGAATGAACTCTTGGGACACATATAACAGTAAATGGTCACAAGACAATAACTGTTCCAGCGTGGCTAGAACACTAATAAACATACCATTAACTGCTTATTCTTTGCCTAAAATGTATCAACAGAGCGATCCTTCAGTGATTACCACACATTCCTTACCAGGTGTATCTCCTCTAAAGGTGCATTACCTGCTAGTTTTTACACTCTGAACACTTGCTGTAAGTTTCATATTTATCTAACTCATATAATACAACTTTAAAAATTCAAAAATACTCAAGGTTTACAAAATATCTTTTTGAAAAAATTAAGTAACAAGAGTTAGATAAATATGATAAACAACTGTCACTAATTGTGGAACTTCTCTCTACTATAATCCATTGTAATGCTTTTTTTTTTATCTAGATCAGAACAGCAACACTCCCTTTCAGCAAGCCTCTCTTTTATCTTCACAGATTTGTATATGACATCACATAATTGTCGACACTCTTTTGTGATGTCATATTTAAAGGTCATGAGGTCAATATACCAGATCATGACATGCATAATGGTTACACACTATAGACTGTTCGAGTGTTATACAATATACACAGGTTAAAATAGAATGAAACGTTAGTATCGGTGCATGTTCTATCAACTAATACATGTTCTATCAACTAATACATGTTCTATCAACTAATACATGTTCCCTCCTCAACTATCCTGTAATACATACATTTGTATTCCATCAACTAATACATATTCAATTTCCATCAACTAATACATGTTCCCTCCTCAACTAACCTGTAATACATACATTTGTTTTCCATCAACTAATACATGTTCCATCAACTATCCTGTAATACATACATTTGTATTCCATCAACTAAAACATGTTCCCTCAACGACCCCGTGATACATATTCCATTAACTAAAACATGTTCCCTCAACTATCCAGTAATACATATTTCATCAACTAATACATGTTCCCTCAACGACCCCGTGATACATATTTCATCAACTTAAACATGTTCCATCAATGACCCTGTGAAACATATTCCNTACATGTTCCCTCAACGACCCCGTGATACATATTCCATCAACTTAAACATGTTCCATCAATGACCCTGTGAAACATATTCCATCAACTAAAACATGTTCGCTCACCGACCCCGTAATTCATATTCCATCAACTTAAACATGTTGCTTAACGACCCCGTGACACATATTCCATCAACTTAAACATGTTCCATCAATGACCCCATAACACATATTTCATTAACTAATACATGTTCCATTCCATTAACTAATATACGTTTCCTAAACTAAGACACGTTCCGTAAACTAATACACGTTCCCTAAATTAAACCATGTTCCATCAACCAGGGGAGATAGATCCAGATAGTCTGAAAGTGGGTTGTATATGTCCTAATGTTATTTAACTTGATTAAAAATTGATGGAATTCTGTAGATCTGTCTCGGCTCAATCACCATTAATTACATATTTCATATACTATGCCATTTCATTTACCTATAAAATTGGTTTAGTTTAAGTCTTTTTATCTTCTACCTTTAACACCTTTTTTTCTTTATGGAGGGGGGGAGAGTCCAGACCTATCCACCCTAACCTAACTCCCTTAGATCTGCCCCTGATCAGCACAATCAGTACATGTTCCCTATTATATTAGAATGTAATATGGAATATTAGAGAAAGTGTTTTTATCCTGCGCACACAACTCTAACAACCCAGGTGGAGTATAAAATGGTCTGGGGTGGGTGTTGCGCTATCTGTGCGTAGCATTCAAGTGAGGTGGCTCTGTAAATGATACCGTTGGAAGCACAGTTCCACTACAAACAGAACACAATACATCTCCAGCACACGCAGGCATACACTGCACAAATAGGGAGATATTAGCCAGGTGGCATAGGACTAGTAGTTAGCGCCTGATAAGGCAGCTCCTGCGAATTCCTCAATATTGTATTGATTAATATATATGCTAATTGTATTGACTGTAAAACATTGTATATCTATGTACTGTAAAGCGCTTTAGAGTGGCTCATGATAGCTAGATAGGGCGCTATATCAAATGTTGTATATTATTATTATTATTATTACAATCCTATGTTATTTACCTTATATATACAATATTGTGTGTGTATTGCATGTGACCTAATCATAATGATAAAATGATAACAGATTTATATCCTTGTATATAAATTGTATGTAAATCATAAAAAAATACTATTTTATACAATATCGTGTGTGTTTTGGATGTGACCTTATCATAAAATTATCAAGGTTTTATCTCCTTATATTGAAATCATAATGTCCAATATCATTGCAATAAGCTTAGCCTATATTGATTATAACTTAATAAGTTGGACTTCACACATATTTAACAAATACTTTCTATATGTTATCACTGAGTAGTTAGCTACTGATGTCACCCTCCACTTGTAACTATTATACAAAAAATCAATGGAGCAATATGATGCTATTAATAGGTCACACCAGCTGTTTCCTTCACCTAACCAACAAGTTACTGTGTAATCACACATGGTTCTGAGAGACTATTGAAACAGATGCTTGCATATTGACTTGAATCAATATCAGCATGTCTTGAAATAAAAGAATTATTCACAATCTAAACAAAGTACTAAAAGTAGCTTGGTGCTGTATTTGAACAAAAGGACGAACACTTTGTCTACATGTTTAATAAAATACGTTAAGGATATCATTGTAAAACCTCATATTTTTTTTTATATTTTGTATTTGAATCAAAAAAATAATTCAATTGATTCGATACAGGAAAATACATCATTAACAAACGTGAGTTACTGTTTACAAATGTACTCGGCTAACACTAATCATCTATGTTTAGTCCTGAATCAGGTGAATACAAATTAAACAGTACTGGTAATGCATTACGAGTATTTTATTGGCTGTACATCTGTCACTGACAGACATATATAGGTACATGTATGTTTAAGTGACTTCCTTATTTTGACAAAAATTTTCTCAAATACAATACAGTGTATAGATTAATTCTCGGGGTATAGTGGGTAAAGGTATTATTTTTTCACATATATTTATCATACAACACTGAAGTAAAACATTAATAATTTTCAGAGTCAGCGAAAAGGAGGTTTCACCACTAGAATTATTTCACTTTAAAGGTGCATTTAATTCAGCTAGATCACTCTACATATTAAATGACTGTGTTTGAAGTCAACTTATATTAAGACATTAGAGTTTAAAGGAATTCTTTTTCCTCATTGAGATAATACTTAAAACATAAATACAAAACTACCTGATAATGTTACTGTGCTTGCAATTGCAAAATTAAGCCCCAATGAATTCAAATGAATAATTTTGAAAAACGGAACTTGTTTTAGATTGGATCAAGTACGTATGTTTGAAATAATATAGCACCAAAAGATCAGACTGTTGCCCGGGGCAAGGCGGAAGGAAAAATGTACTATATGTAGGTCTAAAATAAACTAGTCCACACTTTTTGTTTTACATTACTTTTGTAAAACGTATCATTTATAGAAATATCATTTTAAATAAATGCCGATAGTAATTGTACCTAACAAATACAGTACCTGTATGATATCTTCAACAAAATCAATCAGATTTCAGGCATAGCATGTTTGCCACTAGCGGTCTATGGTCAACAAAGCAACAATTAATTACTTTAGAATCCCAATCAGTTAGAACTACAGTGGCTGTAGACTGTTTTGTTGAGGTATTACAGTAAGAGTTATATGAACCACTGTAACAGGTATATATGTATAAGAACCAACCCACCACTGCTGTGTGAGTTTTACTGACAACAGACAATTGTCATTCTCAATCAACTTTGATCAAAACTGCTTCCTTTACTCCATACAATGTTTTGCATCTGATATATGCAATGTACATAAAATAATAATACTTATATCAAAGAAAATTTCCAATTCAAATATGCCTATCACCATTAGAATAAAAATATGTACATGATGATCCTTGTTATAACATGCTCTATAAATTCCTAAACAAGAATCGTAAACCCATGCTATACTACCTGTGTCAGAACTTACATTTGTTCCGTAAATCACTTCCTTGACAATGAGGTAGTTATCATACGCTTTCTGGGAGTGAAATGTGATTTCACCACTGAGGAGGAAGGGCAGTGTGACGGTTTTGAAGTTCTCACCTCCGTCCTCTGTGATGTACAATAGCGAGGAGTTGCTGAGGTGGTCACCAACCAGGTAAAGCTGAAACAGTGAAGGACAGGATATTTAAGTCACAGTGTGCTCCCAAAACTAGAATTTTTCGAAGATGAATATTGCAGACAAAACTAGAATTTTGTTTTTGTGAACAAAAACGTATGTCTCCCCTTATTAGCCAATAGAAAACTCTGGTATATTAACAAAGGGCCATAGCGCTTTATATAGTGGGGCACGAGACCTGAATTTAAAATTTGACACTCCTACCTCCCAAGATACATTAAAACTTTAGCAAGTTTGGTCAACGTAGGTGAAACTAGAACCCTGACAGGTCAGTAAGGGCCCCGTCTTGTGGCAATATATCCCCCATAATCATCAAGACAAACTAGAACACTGACAGGTCAGTAAAGGCCCCGTCTTGTGGAACTAGAACACTGACAGGTCAGTAAGGGCCCCGTCTTGTGGAAATATATCCCCCATAATTATCAAGACAAACTAGAACACTTACAGGTCAGTAAGGGCCCCGTGTTGTGGCAATGTATCCCCCATAATCATCAAGACAAACTAGAACACTTACAGGTCAGTAAGGGCCCCGTCTTGCTGCAATATATCCCCCATAATCATCAAAGACAAACTAGATCACTGACAGGTCAGTAAGGGCCCCGTCTTGTGGCAATATATCCCCGATAATCATCAAGAAGCAATGCAATCTGCCCATATAGCTGAGCTTGAAGTTTGACATTTTGACTTCAAAAAAATTGCATGGAAGCAAAATACACATTTTACATGTACTATGATGTGAGTCTTGTTTCCTTCCACTTCCATATTTGCTGGGCTAACAGAAATGTAAATACCGGTGCAATACTCATTTGTTAGCTTTGATTTGTTTTATTTCACCTTAAATACCCCATCAAGAGCCAGGGTCAAAGTAAGAGATCCATTTTGTCTTTGACCTTTGGACCCAAATGACCTTGACCTTTAACCCAGAGACCCTGATCTTTGGTCAGTTGACTCATTCTTCAGCTTTGCTTCAAAATATCATAAAAAAATGTTCATCATTGAAAAATACAAAACTTGACCTTGACCTTGAACTTTTGGAACACGTAATCTTGACCTTTGGTCAGTTGACTCCTTGTTAAGTTCTGAACAACTTTGCTTCATAATAACATACAAAAAATGTTCATTAGTAAAAAGATACAATATCTGAACTTGAAATTGACCTAGTGACCTTGACCTTAAGTCAGTTGACTCCATTTTAAATTCCAACCAACTTTGCTTCATAATGTCATAACAAAATGTTAATTAGTGAAAAGATACCAAATTTGACCTTGACCTTTGATCAAATGACTCCTTATTTAATTCTGACCAACATTGCTTCAAAGTATCATATCAAAATGTTCATCATTGAGACTTGAAATGTTCGTAAACTGAAGATCCTTTGAAAATTTGGGGCTATGTTTAAATTTAAATCTCTGGAACACATAAAGTGTACAAGTGAAGTTGCATTCTATTGTTTGATGCTTTGATTCAAATAGACAATCAACTACACAACTGACGAGATATTACCTTTTTAGCATTGTGTGGATTCCTCTGTAGCCCATTGTGCTTCCTCACTTTAGCGTTGTCTAACTTTTCCACCTTTTTAAATGTTTTGCCATAATCAATGCTAAAATAGATAACAACCATTTTTAATGTTAAAACATGTAAACAATGGTAGCTTATTTATAGCCTTATTACAACTTCTTATGTGTACCTAGCTTAAAACAAATATTGCATTTAACCTGAAGACACATTTGAACTCTTCCAATTCAAAGGCTGGAATAGTTCATTATAAAATTTCGGGGGTGAACTATTAAAATGTTGATTTACCGGGGTATTTTCTATAGCATTGTCACTACAATTAAACTTTTCCTGTGCATATCATATAATCACACACTAATATATTCATTGTTGCTGATCATTTTTATTTACAGGACACATACCTTTTATAGACGTTCGAGGACTCTGTAAGGCCACTTGGACTCAACTTTGAGGTAACCACCATTATACCCTGTACAAAAGATCAAACACTAGCATACACTACATTTAAATTATTCAAAATACACCTAGTATGGCAGCTGAGCATTACATTGAAATAGACTGCAAGACAAGTTCATATTTGTCAATTAATCATTCTGTACTAGATCGCTAAGTTTTTAAGGCCAAACTTCTACAGTGCTGCACCTGGATCAATTTCCTGCGGCTGTTTTTTATTGTATATATAGTTTACTTATTTTGGTATTATAATTTCCACAATGGCAGATACTGCATAGAAATTAAGGATTATGTTCAAACAAATGTAGACAGAACCAGGTGTAGTTTAATGTTGACAAACGCGGTCACTTGGTCTCGCACCTGTTACAATCACAGTACCATTCTAGTATAAGATACAGTTTACATATATAACTCCATGTGACCGACTTCTTATATGAGAAAAGACAAAAGCATACATGCATTTGTGACTTACCCCTTGTTCTCCAGCCCATGCTAATGCCATGCTACTGCTTGAATCTGTATCAAAAACTTTCTGAAACAATAAAAAATAATCACAATGAAATCAAAACATACACAGAATGTGCCAAGGTTCCCAACTTACTCTTGCTTATAATACATGTACACTACATACAGGTCTGATTTAGATACAGTTCCCCCCTGCAGTTAAACCTGTATATATATTTATGCCAAGGCTCCCCGATTTCCTCAAAGTACACGACTTGAAGCGGATTTATGTAAGTGCATCTCACTAATGATACAGGTCTAATTTAAATGAAAGTCCCCCCCACCACCACCACCACATCAGAAATGATTCATTATTTGGTCGTGTTTAGTTACCAGTAATTATATTTCGATGTATTTCTAATTGAAAATTTTAATTTACCTGGTAATAATTATTCTTTTGGCACAAGCATTACAGTCAGAGTCCATTTTTGCACTTCTATGCTCATTAATTTAACACATCCAAAAGGGTTGTTGAAATGAAAGTTTTGATGCGCAATTCCGACTACACAACAATGGATGGTTTCAAGAGCCATAGGCTATTTTCATTGACATCAGGTAGTGATATATACAGAATTCTGTAATATCAACAATATTTCCTATTGGCCTAAAACGACACACTGCTTTACAAATGTAATTACCTTTGGCCTGTCATAGTGTTGCATCCTGTTGTATTTAGTGTTTATTTCATGTTTAGGCTTTAATATTGATTATTTTGATGTGATAAAAATTGTATATTTTATCCTTAAGTTTTGTTTAAGTGAGTTACCTATTCCGTTAGTGTCGCTGTATCACGTGACCCGTACTTTCGTTTTCTGGATACTTGTTATTAGGGCCCGTAGTATGCACATTGTATAAGTATTTGATTGTGTAACACCTGTGATGTCAAGTGTAGCTTTTGTGACCGGACTGACCACTTTGGACATACATGCTCACTGCATTGCTTCCTTTCTTTCACGCTTTTCTCTCTCTACTTCTTCACTTGGGCACTTTACTTAGGTGTCAGACCTACATGTATGCAATTGTACATGTATGCTGGTATTGGAAAGCCTGAAGTATTTCTGTAAAAGATGTGCATTGATTAGCTTGTCTAACAAGCGTGTTCGATAAACAATATGTCTATTATGTGTCTGTATTTTACAATTAGTGTTTTTATATCATTTTAGGAATTTATCAATAATGCAATTAAAAACAAGAACATCAAAGTGATTGTCAATTGATTTGTGTAGGAAAGAACCCCAACTCCACATAGGACTAAAGCATGTCCTGGTTTGTATATATACTGTACAATAAAACAGAAAGCGAAGGCAAGTTTGATGTAACAGTCTAGATAAAAATAAAACAAATATACATATACTTGATATAACGTCAAACTCCTGTAGTCTGTCACACATGTAGACTTGTCCTAAATTATATGTAATCTTATGTAACAGGAAAGAGTATAGTGTGCTGCCACCAGGGATCGAACACTCAATCTCCAGGTTCCCTCTTGCTCGAAGCTTGAAGGCGACCTTAATCATATGTACAATTAAAACCTGCCACACTACTCCCCCCTTTTTTTTAAATGTGTTAAATATAATATAAACTTTATTTATTTTACAACAGTTATGAAACAAGTTATTTCAACTTATATTAATCACTCTTGTTGGCCCGGGTGTTAGCGCATTAGGGGGTCTTATTGTGGGAGGAAACCAGAGTACCTGGAGAAAACCCACCTGGTCGGGCAGGTGACCCCAACCTTTTCATGTCCGATCTGGGAATCAAACCCTGGCCACCTTGGTGAAAGGCAAGTGCGCTATCTACTGCACCACCCGACCACCAACAGGTGCTTAAATGTGTTCGCCCTCAAACACCACAACCCAGGTTCTACTAACTCCCTGTCACCACAGGGAGGGCCATAGTACTAATATTAATACCCGGCCACCTCTGCCCCTGCCGGGCATTAAATCGATCCCATGCCTTGTAATGGCGCAAGCCCGGTGTGAATCACACCGGGGTGATTTTAGAATTAATTGACAGCACATTGGTCAACATTCATAAATAAGGTTGTAGTATGAACTATTTCTGTTGATATCCTGCACAACTTAAAGTTAAACTCTGCCTAAAATGTCGTTAAATTATCAAGTAAACGTAGCAAGCGCAATAGAAATCTGAATTGACCGCCATGTTGGAAAGTTCGTCTCTCTTCCGATATAGGTCAGACGTCCAAATATGGGTGTCATGACCCAATATGGAAATTGTACACGTAGTAAACATGGCAGCATCAGTAGTGATTCTATATTAGGCCATGCAGGCCATATAAAGAAAGGATAATTGAGATAACATCACGCGTGATCTGTCATGGCGGTCGTTTCTATTTTTTTTCCAAATACAGACTTTGTAAATTTCGTAAAAGAGTTTTTGCATGGGTAAGGATTCGTTTTTTCAACAATTATGCAATATTTTGATAACATTATATGTGAATTATATGCAATCTTACAGATTAACACTTTTGATTTTGCTCCATTAGTTGGCATAGGACCACTTCGTAGCTCTGACGGCGCAATATATAAAAAAAATATCTTGTCGTCAGAAAGCTACGTTAACGCAGCTAGGAGAGCCACTGACACCATTTGTAACAGGAAAGAGAATAGTGTACATGTGCTTCCAACCCTCGATCTCCAGGTTCCTAGTCGGTCGTTCTATTACTGAGCCAAAGAGAAATTCCCTCTAGCTTGAAGCTAGAAGGCGACCTTAATCCTATGTACAATTAAAACCTGCCACACTTATAAGCTTTTCTTTGTTATAAGCAGGAAGCAGTGGCAAGTTTAACTTGGTACATTTCTTCCCTGTTCTCTTGTTGACCGACTTCAAGAACATTATCATGGAACTTGTGATTAAATTACTAAATGAATAAATCTACAGAAGTTCCACAGCTATCAATGGGCAAACAAGATCAAATATCAACACAGTATCGCCAGTATTATGGTTGTGTAAGCTCATATCTAAAATGAAAGTAATGTAAGTGTGTAGTGTGGATTCAGTATGGTTAAATCAATCGATAACAGCAAGTCATTTATGTGGATTAACGGTATACTGTATTATTTTGTCAATTTAAACGAAAAACATTAAGTTATTTACTCAAAAACGTATTTACTTTTTCTTCCCATGGAACACTTTTTGACAGGATATCTTGCAGAAAATTGTTTTCTTGTTCAGTGCATTTCGCATCGATACTTCGTCTGTTCCTTTCCGACGATCTTCTAAACCTTGACAATGAATCTTCTATTTTCGAATCATCACTCATTTCAAATTTATGCACATTAGGAGTTCCTTCGACAACAAGAAGGTACACAATTACCAAATGACAACATACAGTTGACATTTTGATCGCCATGTTGGTGATGTTGTTTCACGTGAGGTCCCAGCTGCGCCACCTATCAACAAAGTATCGGATTAAGAGTTATCTGCCCTTAGACTATATATGAAAATTGTTAGCTTTCGAGACAAAAAAAACACATTTTTATTATTATACTGTGTCAAACATTTTATAGTTTTTGAGACTTCATATTTAATAAGTACTTTTTGTATTCATATAATTTTTATTATGTTCTTCTTCTTGATAATGACAATTAAGTTTCAAAATTGAAGTTTTAATGTCATAATGTTGGGAAAAAGGTTATGGTAAAGATTTTTTGATTTTTTGTTATTTCAAAGGTTAAACAATGTGCACAAATTAATTATTGATAACAAATGTTCAATTAATATTTTATTTTTGTATTCAATAACTATAAATTCAATAATAAATAATAATAATATATAATTATTTTAAAAATTTGTCAATATATAATTATGAGTATATGTAGAATATTATTCAAAAGTGCAATTACATATTTGAAATGCCATATTTTTAACTGATAAGTTCATACTTTGAATATACTCGGATGGATTATGTAATATTTTCAAACATCAATAAAACATGCATGCTTGAAATTAACAAGATTGTGTTCATCTGTAAATGCTATGTCTGCACATACATGTATATAACAAATGTATGGTGATCTCAACCATGTCTAAGTTATGACCAAGGACAAAGTCCTAAGGGGTAAGGCAAACCACAGAGTCAATTTTGATAGCGTGACTGTGTTTGTGTTTTCATGCCCAGAAATTGTAGATAAGATTATGCAGTTGGCATTTTAACTATTTTGATGTTAGTACAAAGGGACAAAGTCCCCAGGGATGGGGAAAGACCACGGCCAATTCCTGGTAGCATTTGTGTATTTGTCTCTTTATGCTTAACAATTGCATATATGATTAAAGAGTGGGGATCAAAACTAATTTCATGTTGTGACCCTGAGACAAGTCCAATGGGCTGGGGCCAATACTAGCTGCATAACTGTGCTTGTGCCTTCATGCCCAACCAGCAGGAAAACATTTCTAAACATTTTCTTCAGGTTAGTAAGTATGGATTATGAGGACTTTTTACACAACCAATAACATTTTCTATGTAATGTTTCAATGACTAGTACGATATGTTTACCGTCACAAAGGTGTAAAATGTGCACGAGTTGTCCATTAAATCGATGTTGATTTCGGCTACGCTGGAAACGTATGTATAACATGACCAATTGTTAACAAAGTGTAGCTGAATTGAGTCATTTTGGTACATATATAACAACTATTGTACAATCGTTTCCAGTGTAGCCAAAATCGACATCGATTTTGTGGACAACTCGTACACATTTTACACCTTTGTGTACATACGCTCCACTGGTCATTTGTCTGATGAAGGTGACAGTGTACACATCGTACTAGTCATCCAAACGTCACATAGAAAATTTTATTGGTTGTGTAAAAAGAACTTCTCATAATAAAGCAGGGAAATATTTAAAGTGTGGGGATCTAAAAAATAAAATCCCAGAATTTTCTCATTATATTTTGGCTCTGTAACAAAGTCCCTTAGTTGATAAGCTCCTTTATTTATACATTTCCTTAGCCCCAAAAATCTGAAGGTTGCTTCCACTCAAATATGGTCGATAGCCATCACACAGTTCCAGTTTCTTAATATAATTAAATTAACCCATTTTGGCCCCACCATTTTTCCCCTAGAGGCTTAGCCCATCCATTTGTACAATTTCTAGTATCCACTACCGGAGGATGCTACAGTAAGGTTGATAATACAAGAGGCCCAAGAGGGCCTGTATCGCTCACCTGAATATTTAAGCAGTCATAGCAAAATATTCTCATTAAATATTATATTGCACTAAAAATATTTCCCTTGCAAACTTTGTTGGCTCCATCTGTTGAAACTACCAGCAAAATATTATTATAAGATTCTATGCTTTTTGATTCTTCTTCAGAAGTTGCTTGACATATTTTCCCCTGTGATCTTGTAAGTAGGTCAATGTCATTTTCCTTCTCAAATTGGTTAGCTCTATTCCAAAAAGCTACCAGCCAAATCTTATGAATCCGTTCCTTTTAGTTCTCAAGAACAAATCCATTAAAATGTCGTTGACCTCTGTGACCTCTAAAGTAGATTGAGGTCATTTTCATTTCCAAACTTTTGTGAGCTCTATCCCAGGAAGTCACCAGCCAAATATTATAATTTTATGCCTTTTAATTCTTCAGAAGAAGCTGTTTGAACTGTTTGACATATTTGAACGCTGTGACCTTGAAAGTAGGTCAAGGTCATTTTCATTCGCAAACTTTGTTTGGCTCTTTCCCAGGAAGCCACCTGCCAAATATTAAGATTTTATAACTACCAGTTCTTCAGAAGAAGTCGTTTAAAGTGTTTGACATATCTGCCTCATGTGACCTTAAAAGAAGGTCAAGGTCATTTTCATTCTCAAACTTTGTTCGGCTCTTTCCTAGGAAGCTACAAGCCAAATATAGAGATTCTATACCTTTCAGTTCTTCAGAAGAAGTCGTTTGAAGTGTCTGACACATTTGACTCCTGTGACCTTGAAAGAAGGTCAAGGTCATTTTCATTCTCAAACTTTGTCAGGCTCTATCCAAGGAAGCTATCAATCAAAAATAAAGATTATATACCTTTCAGTTCTTCAGGAGAAGTCATTTTAAGCTTTTGACATATATGACCCCTGTGACCTTGAAAGTAGGTCAAACTAGTTTTCATTCTCAAACTTTGTTGGGCTCTATCCGTAGGAAGCCACCAGCCAAATATAAGATTATATACCTTTTAATTCTTCAGAAGAAGTCGTTAGAAGTTTTTGACATATTTGACCCCTGTGACCTTGAAAGTAGGTCAAACTAATTTTCATTCTCAAACTTTGTTGGTCTCTATCCCAGGAAGCCACCAGCCAAATATGAAGATTCTATACCTTTCAGTTCTTCAGAAGAAGTCGTTTGAAGTGTTTGACACATTTGACCCCTGTGACCTTGAAAGTAGGTCAAGGTAATTTTCATTCTCAAACTTTGTTGGGCTCTATCCCAGGAAGCCATCAGCCAAATATGAAGATTATATACCTTTTAGTTGTTCAGAAGAAGTCGTTTGAAGTTTTTGACATATTTGACCCCTGTGACCTTGAAAACAGGTATAGGTCATTTTCGTTCTCACACTTTGTAGGGCTCCTACCAACAAAGCTTTCAGCCAAATATCATGACTTTAGGCCTGTCCGTTCTTCAGAAGAAGTTGTTTAAAGGAAAAGTTGACGGACGAGGACGGACGGACGGACGACGGATGCCGCGCCACGGCATAAGCTCACTTGGCACTTCGTGCCAGGTGAGCTAATAACCATCAAATAATTCCAAAGAAGATTTTTCAAAGCAAAATGACCCAATATTCTATTTTTGACCCTGCCCCTCAGCAACCGGGGGATCAACCCCTCCGCTGCACAATTTGAATTCTCACCACCAGAATTTGGTTTCATATTCATGCAATGGTTCCAGAAGTGTACCCATTTCTGGCTCTGCACTCACAGCCCATGGAGGGAAGTGGTTGGTTGGATGGATCAGTCCCTTCATTTGTACAATTTTGAATTCCCACCACTTGAAGATGCCTCTCACCCAAATGCCCACATCCATCACCCATCATAGGTGTAGAGAAGTAGCTTATCATAACTTGGCCAAATAAGCGACCATTTTCTGCCCCTCAGTCCTTCAGCCCTGCCATTTGTTCAATTTTTAACCCCCAATACTTGAGAATGTTTCCAATCAAAATCAGGTGAAAATCTGCTTAGCGGTTCAGAAAAAAGTCATTGGAAGGAGTTACTGTTGGACGTCCAACAAGACATCCCACCATGGCACACGCTCTGCTGGAATTCCTACTTTTTGGTCGACATGTTGCCTACATCATACTGGTGTTGTAGATTCCATTTACTTCCAAGACAGAAATTTACGTCTACCAGAAAATAAAATGGTATACAATAGCACATTAATTAAATAGAAAACAAGTCTCATTCCTTCTTGTAATGTGTAAATTTATTATAATTGCAATATTGACATGTGGCACTGTTTCAGCACAGCTTTCTCCTTTCACTCATAGCCATACACACATCCCTTCAAAACTGTCATATCACACAGCTTCAATTCAACACTGAAACCATGTTTATTTAGTCCATTAAAATAACTACCAGGTAAGCCTTTCATGGAGTGCTTTATCAGCGCCCTTGTAATATTGACATTGGGATTACCATGCTTGACCTTGACATTTATACTTCAGCATAACCTTAACAAGGATATAAGTTTACATCGATAATCATACCACGATATATGTATTATCTTAAGACATGAACTAAAGTTTGACTATGACCTTGACAGGCATACAGTATGACCTTGACATGTAAACTACAACTTGACGTTTATACCACAGTTTGGCCTTGACATCTATACTACAGAGTGATCTTGACATGTATACTAGTTTCACCTTGACATTTACATTATAGTATGCCTGATAAGGACAATCATATTACAGTATGACCTTGTCAAGTATATGTCGTGCTACAGCAAGTCTGCAAGAACCTTAAATCATAATAGTCATACATTTATCCACCAATAAGCCCATGTCTGGTATTAATCCCATCCAAATCCGATTGCAGTTTATCAGAAATGCAAAATAATCGATTTCATTGTCCCGTTATGAGCCCAGCACCCTACTCAAATTGAGTGAGAAATTGCGTGTTCTATTGGGTTTTATTGCAGGATATATACATTAGGATTTTTACATTTCGATCTGTAGTAAATATGATCACATATGTTCAGATATAAATCATACAACTTCATCTTAAGACGACTATGATTAAATAAATTGAAGTATTGACTTAATGCTCAAACACTTCTGATCCCATTCCTGACCAGACTTATGATAAAATGTTCACTCCTGGACACCTCCACACTGCCTGGTCTACTGTTCTGCTACATAATTCAGTTAAATGATCGCAGAATATTTTCTTACTTACTTTGAATAATGCTGAATACAATTTTCACTGTCAATGTTATAAGTTACTGTTATTTATAACAATGATTTCAATTTCAGTTCGAAGACGAAGCCTATTTCCATCGTGTTCAGACGGTTAACAATACACTTTCCAATTTTCAGTTAAATGACTAAGTTCGTTTTCAATGTGTTCAGATGGTTAACAGGTGAAGTCAATTTTTCCATTGTGTTCAGATGGTAAACAGGTGAAGTCCATTTTCCATTGTGTTCAGATGGTATACAGGTGAAGTCCATTTTCCATTGTGTTCAGATGGTAAACAGGTGAAGTCCATTTTCCATTGTGTTCAGATGGTAAACAGGTGAAGTCCATTTTCCATTGTGTTCAGATGGTAAACAGGTGAGGCCATTTTCCATTCCTAATTTGATGTTTTCTGTTTAAGTTTGATGACCACAGCACCGTTCCTCGCCTCTTTGATCCGCCACCATCTCCCTAATCTGTGTTCCTGCCCAATACCTGCCACTAACATGTCTCCATCTTTGGAAAATTTTAACGAGTTGACAAAGCCATTCTGTAAAATAGATTAAACAGTTTTTGTTAATCAAATGATTGTAAAGGATCCGATCATATAAAAAGTTATTACAACTTATAACAAACTAGAAAATGTCTGTAAGACATAAATTCCCCCGCTCATGGATGGGACGGGATGGGAAGGGACGGACAAGGGCAACATGATATGCCGGGTATTATATGGCAGGGGCATAATAAATATATAAATATATATCAATATGGGTGTCATTAACATGTTGATTTTTTGTTTTATTTTTATTCATGTCATTATATTTAAGCTGACCTGTTAGATCATCATAATCATAGTCATGAATAATTTCATATTTCACCCTATACATACTGCAATTCAAAGGAAGACAAGTTCATCCCCCATATACTAAAACTGTTAGCTTTAATATCATTTTTATATCAACATGACAGAAGATCACTTAAAAAAATATAAATTGCACCTTACAAATTCTCAAGTATTGAAATAGCTACTAACCACGGGTACTGTAAACAGTGGTGTTAAGGACTTCATATCCTGTCCTGCCTTCCAGAGCCTAATACAGCCATCTTTGGAACCTGCTAACACACAAAAGTCATTATATATATATGTACCTGAACCTCCTAACACACAAAGTCATTACATATAACATCTTTGGAACCTGCTAACACACAACGTCATTATATATACCTGTAATCAGTGGTTACACCTGCTAACACACAAAGTCATTATATATACCTCTAATCAGTGGTTACAGCTGCTAGCACACAAAGTCATTATATATACATGTACCTGAACCTCCTAGCACACAAAGTCATTATATATACATGTACCTGAACCTCCTAGCACACAAAGTCATTATATATACCTGAAATCAGTGGTTACAGCTGCTAACACACAGTCATTATATATACCTGTAATCAGTAGTTACAGCTGCTAACACACAAAGTCATTATATATACCTGTAATCAGTGGTTACAGCTGCTAACACACAAAGTCATTATATATACCTGAAATCAGTGGTTACAGCTGCTACACACAGTCATTATATATACCTGTAATCAGTAGTTACAGCTGCTAACACACAAAGTAATTATATATTCCTGTAATCAGTGGTTACAGCTGCTAACACACAAAGTCATTATATATACCTGAAATCAGTGGTTACAGCTGCTAACACACAAAGTCATTATATATACCTGTAATCAGTGGTTACAGCTGCTAACACACAAAGTCATTATATATACCTGTAATCAGTAGTTACAGCTGCTAACACACAAAGTCATTATATATACCTGTAATCAGTGGTTACAGCTGCTACACACAAAGTCATTATATATACCTGTAATCAGTGGTTACAGCTGCTAACACACAAAGTCATTATATATACCTGTAATCAGTGGTTACAGCTGCTAACACACAAAGTCATTATATATACCTGTAATCAGTGGTTACAGCTGCTAACACACAAAGTCATTATATATACCTGTAATCAGTAGTTACAGCTGCTAACACACAAAGTCATTATATATACCTGTAATCAGTGGTTACAGCTGCTACACACAAAGTCATTATATATACCTGTAATCAGTGGTTACAGCTGCTAACACACAAAGTCATTATATATACCTGTAATCAGTGGTTACAGCTGCTAACACACAAAGTCATTATATATACCTGTAATCAGTGGTTACAGCTGCTAACACACAAAGTCATTATATATACCTGTAATCAGTGGTTACAGCTGCTAACACACAAAGTCATTATATATACCTGTAATCAGTGGTTACAGCTGCTAACACACAAAGTCATTATATATACCTGTAATCAGTGGTTACAGCTGCTAACACACAAAGTCATTATATATACCTGTAATCAGTGGTTACAGCTGCTAACACACAAAGTCATTATATATACCTGTAATCAGTGGTTACAGCTGCTAACACACAAAGTCATTATATATACCTGAAATCAGTGGTTACAGCTGCTACACACAAAGTCATTATATATACCTGTAATCAGTAGTTACAGCTGCTAACACACAGTCATTATATATACCTGTAATCAGTGGTTACAGCTGCTAACACACAAAGTCATTATATATACCTGTAATCAGTGGTTACAGCTGCTACACACAAAGTCATTATATATACCTGTAATCAGTGGTTACAGCTGCTAACACACAAAGTCATTATATATACCTGTAATCAGTGGTTACAGCTGCTAACACACAAAGTCATTATATATACCTGANGTGGAGATCACAATAATGTGCCTCCCAGCCACTATATGTTCTTAAACTCTGGAATAGTGCTCAGCCATTAATATAGCAGGGCTCAATCATTACATCCACCAGTCAACAAGTCCATCTTTAATTATACAGAATGCAAATCACTATATTGAATTACCGAGGAAAATCTTTGTTTTTAAATGAAGAACATGTGAGCTTGTATAGCTACAACTGCAGCCAGTGTTTATTTGAATAAAGTTTATTTCAAAGTAAATTAAGTTTTTTTTTGCAAATATCATGTTGTAAGGCTATATCTCAACTGAATTTCACTGTGACTAAGTAAAATCCAAGTTTCACAATTCAGGACCTCAGATTCCAGCTGAAGTGGCTAGCTTTGAGAAACAACTGGAATACTAAATGTACTAGGTAAAAAAAAATCATTCTATCCACTGAACACTAGCCAGACAATGGGATTAGTGGTGACTGGATTAACAAGACTCTACATTTTTGAAGCAAGTGCTTTAAAAGTGTCTCCATATACCCTACAAAGCAAAAATTTCTACACTTCCACTCAATTTTAAGAAATTTCCATTTGTACCTGATTTATCGAGACAATAATATACATTAAAGGTTCTATTACAATTGTTGAAACATTGCTTATTAGTCGTTCAGTTTAGATCTTTGCCACATTAAACAGTATATGATGTCAAGCTATATCCTAGCTACAAGAAAATAATGTCCATTTCTCTCTATTAAAAGTACATGTAACAACTTTTTTTGAACATCTAATCCGGGTAATAGAACCAAAACATTTGCTATGTTACCCGATGCTATGAGGTCTGTGTGCTGTAGGGAGGTAAGTGCTGTGATCCAGTTCTCTGAGGAAGTCACTGGGTTGTGTCTGTTCTCATTAACGTCTGTATCCGGTCTACCATGGGCATTACGAACCATTACTAGGGGCTTCTTTTTGGTCACCACCCACAAAGAAATAGAGCTAAAAATAGAAATAAAAGTATAACCTGGATATTTTGTTTATGAACTTGTCCTTTGAAACAAAAGATGCTTAGATGAAAGAGTTAAACCTTTCACCACTGTAAACTATAATCGACTCAACCAGACAAATGTATGGTCGAGTTTACTAAAGTTACCTAAGGGTAAAAGGGTTCATCATGTTCTGATATCATTATCTTTTTTGAGAACATATTTATGTAATCTTTATACATGTACATTGTTTTTATATAATGAATTTAAACCTGATATAATGCCCCATTTCATTTAACATCAAGCTTAATTACTGCTGACAAAATTCAAGGTCCCTTTTTCTTTTTTTCTTAGGAACTACTTTATATGCCTCCCATTGTCCATCACTAAACCCCTTTAATGCAACACATTAGACAAATGTTGTTAACAAAGTCTGACTTTGGATTCTCTGTGACAAATTTTACTGGACATTGTACGTAGTTCGAGGTTTTATAGGACAAACAGTGGACATCACACACAATGACACAGGAATTATATATCATCATCACTAGACAAAATGTAGGGTTATATATTACTACAAAACTTACTTATCCTCATCATCACTAGACAAAATGTAGGGTTATATAATACTACCAAACTTACTTATCATCATCATCATCACTAGACAAACAGTAGGGTTATATAATACTACAAAACTTACTTATCATCAGCCCCGGATACAAAGTTAGATTCATTGATTAAGGCAACACAATCAATAGATCCCCTGGAACAAAAATTGAAACATTGTTACATCTCACATCACTCATATTCAAAAAGAAATAAAAGAAGGGGTTCAGAGTGCCAGTATATATATAGAACCCACCTGGCTATTTAACCTATAATGGCAAATTATTCCCATCAAGAGGAACTAAAGGGCCAGATTTTTAAAGCCCATCATAGCTGATGTTAACCTTTGACCCAGACCAGTAGTCAAAGCTGACCTTTGAAAGTAAGTCAAGGTCATTTATATGAGGAAACTTTATAGCACTCTATCCCAGGTACCTTCTGGCCAAATATCAGGACACTGTTCTTTCAGTTTTTAAGATGATAATAAAATTGATTGATGATCTGAAAAAGGACGGACAATGGACGAAGCATGAAACTATAACTTCAATAATTATTTTTTACATTTATATTAATTTATTTATATTCTTGCACTTAGTTCCTTATTTCATTAAACAAGTTCTGTTATAAACTAAATAAACAAAGGAACACATTTAAATATATATATGGGTGTCTGGTCTGTATCACTCACCTGGATATCTAAGCAATCATGGCAAAATAAGATCCAAGGGAATTGGCCAGACCCCAAGGCCAAACCTTGTAGCATATCTGTATTAAATTTTTCATGCAAGCAATTTTATGTATGGTTATGGGGTCGGGATCTCAACTGTTTCCAAACTAAGACTCTGAAACTAGGTCCCTAGGGGTGTGGCCAGACCTCAGGGTCAATTCAAATATCATGATTGCATCGGACTCTTATGCCCAGCATTTGTATATACATTGTATAAGCTACAACCCAGGGACTATGTCTCCAAGGGTGGAGCCAGACCCCAGAGCCATCCTAGAAGCATATGTGCATTCTTCTCTTTATACTCAGCGATTGTATATATGGTTATAGGGTGGGGATTTCGGCCATTTCCAAGTAATTAACTATTTTTGGCCCCACTCCTTAGCCCGGGGGGTTAGCCCCACCATTTGTACAATTTTGAATCCCCACCTCTCATGAATGCTTCCTACCAAATGTGATTTATATCCAGTGCATAGTTCTACAGAAGAAGTTGTTTATAGCAATAAAGCCAAATAGGCCCCTTTTGGCCCTGCCCCTCAACCCCCTGAGGGGTTAGCCCCATCATTTGTACAATTTTGAATCCCCACTACCTAGGGATGCTTCCAGTCAAATATGGTTGATATCGATCTCTTAGTTCCAGAGAAAAAGTCGCTTAAAGCAATGTAGCCAAATAACCCTTTTTGGAAACGCCCCTCAGCCCCCTGGCCCCACCATTTGTACAATTTTGAATCCCCGCTAACTAGGGATGCTTCCAGTCAAATATTATTGTTATCTATCACATAGTTCTACAGAAGAAGTCGTTTTTTAGCAATATAGTCAAATTGTCCCCTTTTTGCTCCACCCCTCAGCCCCCTGGAAAGTCAGCCCCACCATTTGTACAATTTTGAATCCCCACCACCTAGGGATGCTTCCAGTCAAATTAAGCTAAATTCCCATCACTGGTTAAGAAGAGAAGTTGTTTAAAGTAATTGTCGACGTACTGACGACAGACAACAGATGGACGACGGACGCCACAGTATGGCATAAGCTTTACCTTGGTCCTTCGGACCCGGTGAGCTTATAATGGGACTGGTATAAAGTTTTGAACTAAGTTAATTAATCACAATCTATCATTTACTAAACACAACTTCCTTTTGAAGGTTGACCTCTACATGGCAAGTGTTGAGGACTCTGTACGTACTTATGTCCGTGAAACACAAGCTGGGACTCCTCCACAACCTTCCAGATCCTTACACTGCCGTCACGGCCTCCGCCTGTAATTGCTCGGTCACGACTCAGACTATCCACACACGTTATACTGTCCTCGTGGCCAAATCTGAAACCAATAAAATTATACCATAAAGAGTTTGTGGTTATAGCAACAACCAAATTTGTACCAGCACCAGCAAACTAATCTTGCATATAAAACCTGCATTTTGTAATATCAGAGACTTAATTATCTATAAAATGTTCGTGTATGAAAATGTTTACATTATCACTCTTTAAACTGACCGTGGTGTGGAAATTTTGGTGTTGGCTATGACTTTGAATTTATAGATACCCCTATATTTATATTCTTTAATCCATGCATACATATTGGTGTTTGGAAATTTTCATGCTTATCGACTGAACGTAAAAAATGCAGGTACATTTGTATTTCCAAACCAAGATAACTTCTACTTTTATAGTACAAAAAATCTTTTCCTCAGCAAAACTGTAAGGTTGCATTATAGGAAATTTAATGTTTTTTTATAAATGACTTACAATGTTTCTATATATGTTCTATCCTCCACATTCCAGACCTTCACAGAGCGGTCGTGTGAGGCACTAAACAGTTGATGGGTTCCTTTCCTGAAGGCTAAACTCTGAAACAGAAACATTGCTGTGGATTAATTCACATTCCAGTTTCAGCTTCCCATCTTCCATCTAAGAAAATTTAGAAATATTATATCTTCCTTTCAAAACCAATAAAGTATATAACCTAGTCAAATTATTTTTCAGTGGCCGCGGTGGGCAAATGGTTAAGTCGGCCGACATTCTGCTACCACTAGCCCTCCACCACTGGGTCACGGGTTCGAGGTCTACGTGGGGCAGTCGCCAGGTACTGGCTGTAGGTCGGTGTTTTTTCTCGGGGAACTCTGGCTTTCTTACATCACCAAAACCTGGCACGTCCTTAAATGACCATAGCTGTTACTGGGATGTAAAACACAAACAAACCAAACCAAACCAAGTTATTTGTGAGTACATGTATGTGTAGTACTGGACTAGAAATATATACTGGTAATTATTTCATTTTTTTTAAGAACTAACATAAAGATTAACTTAAAGGTTTTATAGGTTTAAAGACTAGTATTGCATTTTATTGAATACTTACAGAAATGGCATCCTTATGGCCTGGGAAAAAGTGGACATGTGTACAATCATCAGGATTCCAAATACGCACTAATTTATTGAGACCACCAGATGCCTGGGGGAGAAAAAACATTCTGTTATATTCACATTAAAGACCATTACAGTTCTTCACAGCATTTCAACAACTGTCATCCAACATCTCCATTTAAGACATGGAACATTATGTCAAATGATTTCTTACACATTAGATAATTTCAAATTAAGGAGTAAATAGATATTATTTCAACTATTTCTTTTTTGTCCCCTCTGTCATTTTAGATTTCACATTTTATTACATTTGCTGACATTATAACATAACTCAGACAGAGGATTATATATCCTCTACGCCAGACGCAAGCAAAGGATTGAAACTTAAGGTAAAGTTCATCTGACAGCACATTAAAGTTCATATTCTGTATACTAAGAAATTGTTTGCCACAGTTTAACTTTTGCCTTTTGTTGTCTGTAATTGGGACGAAAAATGACTGAGAATATTAATACACACCATACTCTGCATAGTCATTACAGGAAAAAGGCATAAATTATGCTTGGTAGAAATAAATTTTACCAGTGAAGGACGATAGTTTCCCAGGTATACAGTATCCAAATGGATTTGAAAGTCTTTAATGGTTAATAATTTTTTCAAATTTTTATCTAATGCATTTTTAAAACTTTAAATGTATACAAAACATGTTATACATTGTTGAGCTGCTTACTAAATATTTGCCGTCTGATGATATTGCTAAACATAGGATGTGCTCCGTGTGTCCCACATGTGACTTCTCTGTGCCTTTCCTCCCACCTGGTATCACAGCAACCTTCTTCCTTCGTTGTATGTCCCCTGTTAACATTTAGACACTCATAATACCTACAAAATGTCTATCAACAATATATATAGAATATGCTTGGAAGATTGTCTTTGAGTTCAGTGGTCCAAGTGAGAGAAAAAAAATCATCCTAGTCAGTAGTCCCCCTGGATATATTTTTGCATTTCAACCACTGATATAAATAAAGACAAAAACATTTATACCTTGTTATAACCAGACAACATTTATCATAGCCACATATCTATTTTACAGCTTGGAAAAGACAGTCAATTATGTTACAAGCTATTATCCGACTGTTAGCTGGATCTGCCTGTAGGTGTACCTTACAAGACACTATCATAGCCACAAACATATTTAACGGCATGGAGAAGACATTTTAATTCTGTTGCAGGTCTATGAGCATCTGACAGTCTGGTGGATCTGTGTGTAGATATACTTACATTTGATAATGGAGCAGTCCTTTGACCCTGTGAAGAGATGCCGACTGTCAGGGGAGATAACCACACAGGTAACTGATAATTGATGACCTCTCAGCACTGTAATGTCCTCCACTGTGGGTACTAGGTACTGTAGATTATATCATCCAGTTAAAATTCAGCTAAAACTGTCAGGTACAATCACAGGAGTAAAATTAACATGTACCGGTAATACCATACAGTGGAAGTGTAGATCAAGTGAGAGTCATTCACTACACAATTTAAAATGAATTCTCTCTGACTTTTCCTTGTTTTTTTTAAACTTCTGAAAATATTTTAATCACAAATAATATTAAGATTAATAAATAACTCTGATCTTTTTTGGGGGGAAGATTTTTTTTTTGAATAATAGTTAAAACTTTCGCAATATAATCTGAAAAATACCTTTAAATTGTGTGATCTGGTATTAAATTATAATCCTTGAAGAAATCAATTGTAGATATTGCACAAATTTTAGGTAATTTTTTATGGTATCCGTATAACCTTTCTATAGTAATGTACTTACATTATCAGCTACTTCTCTCTGAAGTCTTCCTGTTTGTTCCAGCTGAATTACAATGAACAAGACATTTCATTTAACTTATAATCTATACTATTTAACAGATTTATAATTTATTCCTTTCATATTTTCATTACTAGTAGTAACATGGTGTATAGTCAACAGTAAATGAATTACTTCATTTGTAAAAATTCAAAAGATTAAAAGTTACATTAACATATGTACAGTTTGACTATTAAAAAAACTGTTGGCCTAACATTACATTAGTACCAACACTTAATTCCAGTTGTTTCTTACATAATCATAAATGTGCTGTCTTAAAGCTGATATCAAATTTATAGATGTTAAATCCCATCATTCTGTGTTTAATTTATTGGTCAATATGTTTTAATATCTGTATCATATTAACATTTTAAAGATTTGTGGTGAATACTGTTACTGCTAACTTATCCACTAAACAACACTATCACAATTAACTATTATATTTTTGGGTCACCTATAGTCCTTAACCAGAAACACATCTCATCAAATGATTTTGATTTGCTTTCATTACTGACAAAGTCTAGATCCTCATTCCTAAAGTTGCATATTTTTTAAAATATGGAATAATTTAAATTTTGTTAATTTGTTTCAGCTTTATTCCTGGTAATCAAAAATCTGCAAATTGTAGTCAACATAGCTATAAATTATACTTACGATATCCTGCTTTAATCTGTGAGAGATGATGTCTCTGTTGAAATCCTCCTCTTCGTCCTCCCTTTTTTCTGCCTCTGTAATAATTCGGGACACATTTGCTTAACTTGAGTGTCATAAAAATATTGACAGGCAAATCATTTTGCTAAAATTATGCCAAATTTTGACCAAATAAATTGCAAGTTTTCCCAATACATATGTAGTTTCAAAGACCAATGTAAAGTTTTTGAATGATTGGAAAAAATCTGAGAGCAAAGACAAATTCAAGGATAAAAAAACACTTTAACTGTGGCTGCCAATTTACCATAGGAACACATTGTGTCAGTTTGTCCTGATGAGAACTGGTATCAAAGCTATAGTTCAGGTATCAATCCATTCAATATAAATCAAAGTGACCACTCAATAATAAAAATTCATTTAATCATTTCAATTCATTTTTGCTTTAAGTCTTGTGTAATTGTGTATAACGAACTTATATACCTTCAGCTTCTATTTGTGCCAGATACTGTTTGGCAAGTCGGAGTTTCTTTTCCTCCACTGTTTCTTCATCCTCCGATGATTCATACTCATCCTTACGTTTTTTGTATTCTGCATCACTAGAAGTACAAATAAAAAGCTGACTGTAAATTTTTTCTTCAATAGACCAATTAAACCATTTACTGACTTTTATGATTATATATTAACCTAAACTTTATATTCCTTTCTACGTTGAAGCAAGTCCTTGATATGATTGACAGATAGTTACTCCTTATACATGTGAAAATATGTTAATTATAAACAAATGTTAACACAAGAAGCCTCAATGTGTTTTATTCTTTAACCGAGTAATCTTTATATCTACAAACAAATGCATTATAATGAAAAAATTAAATCTGGCAGATCTGTAAAACAATAAATGTAAGCTATTAATGTCCTTCCAGCAAACAATTCTGCCTATATTAAATAAACAAACAACTCTGTTTCTCCAACTTAATAAAAATTAGTGATTTAGATCCAAGTACCAGAGTCAACTGTTATATTCATACTAAAACTACCTTCCAATATCAGAATCACTTTCAATTTCTTCGTCATCTAGTTTTGTCCTTCTCTTAGCTCCTGGATCCTTGTTTTGCGAGATCTTCCTTTTTGATCCCCCCTGAAATACAACACAACTTTAATAATCCCTAACAATTTGAAAGATGAAATCAAGCAATTTCAATATTTGACAATGGACAGATTTTTATTTTCAGTTCACATACAGTGGTTTGTTATTATAATAAATGTGTGTACACTTATGCGTATACTGATATGGGTCACAGCACATGACGTGTATATGTGTTGTGACACATATCAGTATAAGCATATGTTTACAGGTATTTGTAAAGAACTTGTGATTCGTGTACGGATAGAATATACCTGACAAAGAAATATTGTCCATGTGACAGAAGAGATTTTTAACAAACAACAAACACTTTTTCAAAAAAAATATCTCTATTTGGGACTCTCTACGCAATATATTTCACCATATTGAAAGAATCCATAATGGGGCAGAAGTAAAACAAAATATAGGTCTACCTCGAGCTCTAAACACCAAGTAATGGTGAGTTTAATTTTGAGTCTAGTGAGGAGTAGACGAGCTCTATCGACTCCTGTATTGGAAACTAACTTTTAAATGTATGGCTACTAGCCCCTTCACAAGTTTATATAGCAGGGCAAGTCGATAATCGTTAGCATAACAAACAATCGTCGGCAAATGGCCTACGGTTAGATATATATACACACATAGGGAAACCATCGATCTAGCAGAGTGAGAAAAAATTGTTCGAATAGACTCTATTTTTTCTGGAGTTGAATTTGCTGTCGTCTAAAAGTAAATTCGCTGTGTCTAATTCAAACTTCGAACCTTTGAAAATCTGCTTCCTGTTGTATTTCCTCGCTTTGATTTAATGAAGAACGGCATTTCTGTCAACTTTTCAGAATTAGCTACAGCTGGAAGTGGAGCACATGTGCTTGATCAATGTCAATCTAACGCTTTTATCACTCACTCAAGATTACATATGAATCAAGCGTTTACATGAGAAAAAGTTGAATATAATCAAAGAAACATAAACGTAATTCGGAATTTGAACTTGTATTGCTCTTGTTCTCCTTACCCTTAGTTCAGTAATTTATAAGAAATAATCTGCATTTTTGTGCTTTAGTATCCCAAACACTTAAGATAAATTGTTTAAATAATCTGTCGTAAACAAACATATTTTTTAGATCTAGAAGTAATTACTTATTTTCTAATGCGTTTCTAATGTTTGTGTGTTTTATTGCTAGACCTGTTCAAAGAAGATGTTTTTGATCCACAGATCATAGCCTCGTCATTCAAAAACCTACAATAATAAAATCACATCATTGTTTAAGTTTTTTTCCAAACTTTTCCATGCACTTATCATCCTTTTCCACACTCAATTAACATTTGTCTGCCCCGGTTCATTGTATCTGGAAACCATGTGAGTGTCCTGCTTAGTATCTCCACGGAATTAGATTAGATTTGTTATCTAAGTCCGTGGTATCTCAAATGTTTTTTGAGAGGGATCATACATAATCAGATTTCTACATTTTTCACTAATAAATTTGATCCACAGGTACTAGCCTAACTGTTATATAATGGGTGTATTGACAAACGAGGCTAGTACATAACTAATTAATGATCTTAATATCTGTGGGCAAATAGATGGGGTATACTATTTAATCCCAACAAAACAGAAGTCATTCTAATTTCAAACAAACATAATACTGATGGACTACATCCTGACCTTATATTCATTAACAACATTGTGGCAAACGTAAAAAAGCATAAACATCTCGTTGGAGATTTTCTTAATTGTCATGATTCATGGTCAGACCACATAAATTTTATTTATGAAAAAAACATATAAAAAATGAATTAAGTTTAAATCAATTTTATTGCAACAAAAGACAAATGGATTGGACAAAGGTTATTGCAACTTACTTACGTCCTTTCCGTAACAGAAAATATATATACAAAATTAATGTGTCACGTAATAACCTAATATCCTTCTGCTTTTCTAAAGTTCAATCACATTCCGTGCCGGGGTTACAGCAAAAGAGGTAATGATAGAATTAGGAACACCAACGTATAGTTTTTAAATATGTATTCTCCCAATCGAGTCGGCGTAAGTAGTATACCTAATCTATACACACATATCCTTCTGCTTTTCTAAAGTTCAATCACATTCCGTGCCGCATTTGCCTTTCTCCTGTGTCACTCCAAGTCCTTCTGTGAATTCCTGCCTTACATACTTAGCCGACTAGATTAGGAAAACCGGATACGCACTCTTTGTCAAATGGAAACGGTTATGATATTGATGAACGCTAAGATTGAAGTTAGTACACAGAGATCGTTGGTGTTGGAAAAAGGGAGAGGGGCTGGAATAAGAGATCACTTAAGTATAGGCTCGACAGGAAATCTTTAGAAATAATATTCAAATCTTATATTCGTCCAAACCTTGAGTATGCAAGTGTTTTGTGGAACTGCTAGAATAGTAACTGGATTACGTAGGGGTACTAGTCGTGGGCTTTTTCTATAATGAACTAGGATGGGATACAATTAAAAAACGCAGAAATGACCAGCAACATATGCTATTTTTTAGAATAACAATCGTCATACCCCTAATTATCTGTTTGAAAACATTGCACCAATTATATTATATACAATGACTTAATGACTCATGATATTCGACATCAACGTATATATTTAAAACACCAATTTGCAGAACTAGTATACATTTTAACAGTTTCTTTCCTAGTATGATGTCTCGGTGGAATAGATCCGATTGTAATTATTATAATTTGAGACCGGTAAGTGAACTGAAAAGCAACTCGTCTATCATGCCAATCTTTCTAATGCCGAGGATGACGTGTACAAATGCTTTTAAATATGGAGGGACTAGATCTTTTAACGTCATTTTATGTCTTCTTAGAAACCATGCAAGTCAATTAAATTCTGATCTTTTTAGAGACCTCCTTACTATTAGCCCATCCTGTATATGTGGCAACCATGACGAAGATGTGGATAACTTCTTTCTATACTGCCCTAGGTATATTATCCAAAGACAAAACCTATTAGATTCTCTGTCTCATTCGCAGCTTAACATTCAACTAAACATACATTTAAATCTCGACTTAAACCTGATTGAACATTTAGTAAATAATATCAATGTACTAACTAGGGGAAGTAACCACCTTAGTCATGATCCTAATTCTGCTATTTGTGTCTGTGTTCAGAAATATATTGAGTCTACTAACAGATTTTGAAATAACTGTTAATTCTAGTCCCATATGTATACATGTCTATATGAATAATCAATGACTGGCATGGGTAAGCACACAGCGGTGGTGTGTATGGACATTTTAGTGCTGCCCAGTTATAATTGTTATCTGGAGTAGGAGTGGTGATGGAGGACTAGTTGGTGTTACAAATTATTCAACTAATAATATTTAATATTTACTGTATTAAATGGAGGCTCCAGTTTTTGATGTTAATATATGTTGTAAAATTTATAAAATTTGATTATTTACAAAATTTAATGCAGTATACACACATGGCTTTCCATTTTGAAATATATTTTATATATACTGGTGACTATTTACAAAAAAACAAAAAAACAAAAAACTGTATTTGTAAAACCTCATTTTTTTTTTTATTTTTTTTTTAATCTTGCTTAGTTCAGAGATAGATAGAGACTATTAAGTATTAAGTACTATTTAATGTTCCAAGTCTGTGCTAATATGTTAATGTCTAAATTATAATCATGTTATTGTTTGAAATGTGTGTAACCCAAGGGAGAAAGCCTGTTGCCCAATTCCCATTGAATCATTTGATTTAATAAAACATTTTGAAATGAGACGAGGCTATTACCTGTGTTTGATTCTTTTCTCATTTTATTTTCAAAAGGGAATTTGGGGGCCAGACCACCCTGCCATGTATGCTGGAGGACTAGAAGAGGACCTAACCTAAATGATGACCACCATATGTTGGTACTGTATAATGGATCACTCCGAGGCCTTCGGCTGCCTTCTGTATGACATGTTCATCAGGAACCCCTCGGTTATATCACGGACTTAGATAGTCGAATTCCGTGGTTATATGACGCAGATCCTAGAGGACGGGATTGTTCGTCTCACACCGTTACCTGGGGGACACCCGGAGCCAGCGGATGATGCTCAAGCCCCAACACCAGCGAAAGGAGGGAACTGATGAAGGATGTGCCCAACTTCGGATCCATATTGGGACCCAGGTGTCTTTATACATGATACATTTTACAATATCGAGGATATCTCTTTGTTTTATTATGCAGAATGAAAAAAGTTCCGAACCAGGTACTTGAGAGAGACCAAATTCCTCAATGATTGGTTTTGTTTTAATGGTATGCAAGTCAACCCAGAAAAGTTGCAAATCGAAATTGATTTTAACATTCTTGACATTGGAGGGTTAATTGAAAACTGTGATGTGTGCTGAACATTTACATCTCACGAATGAAACTCATTGCTTGTGAAGTTTTAAAATTGTGAATTGGTAAACACCCGACTATCTACATGAACTGATTAACACAACATTTCCTTATTGGTCATTCAGGAATGTCAACACGGAGTAGGTTCCACGGGTAAACACCACAGCGTATGTGTAGCTTATGTTATATGTCTACGAAAAATAAACCTCTTGTACAAATGTATGTCGTTTCTTGTTTATCGGGAAACCAAATAACGACTGAAAATAAACCTCGTGTGGGTTTCAGACCCAACTTGAGATATGGTCTTTCGCCAAGGTGAGAAACAGAGCCAAATTGGAAAAAAACATAAACTTGGGTCGAAGCGGCTTTCGTTAATTTTCCAACACTTTCTCACATTCGTTTTATATTTCACCAAATTACACTAAAAAAGAATGATTATTTATAAACAGACTATGCAATTTCTTTGGGCGGGGGAGAAAAAGCGAGACGCTGGATTTGTTTTCTTTGTCGACTGAGGATAGGGTCAATTGTTTTTGTAGTTCTTTGTAGAAGATTTGCTAACGAACAAAGATTATTCTAGACCTACGAAAAATCTGTAGGGGACACAATCAGATTGTTCTGCCGAACTCATATGTTCCATAAAAATTACTTGAAATCGTTTTTTGTAAGTTGAGGTTTCGATAGATTGGTGTTTTTTTATTGTGAAATGATAGAGCATATGGCGCTCTGGCTGCGAGCTAGATAATCGTTTGGTTCTAATTATTTAATTTATAGTTACGATAAATCAACAAACTAAGAGACATATGGGGGACAACTGTCCACAGCGACCACCCTCGAAATTCCAAGGGTTCACCTTACTAACTTTTTCTGCATCTCTGGAATTTGTCATGATAAAATCGAAGGCTCTGTACGCCACCTTGCCCGGATGTAATACATTTACAGTTACGAATAAAATTCACACCCTACTCATAAAATATGCTATATGGTATATTTTATGAGAAGGGTGATTTTTTTCTCAGGACTATTTTTATTGACAGAAACAAATGCCTGTGTTCAGAACTGATAAAACGACGCTTGTTGTAAAATGAAGACCGATGCATCACGTGACAAATGTGTATCTTCGACACACTGAATATAGTATCACCGGCTATCCCGAAACAATGAACCAGGGCAGGTTCAAATTACTCAGAGTCAGATTCATCAATTCATTGAGAGAGGAAAGGGCTAGTGGACATGTTTGGAAAATTTACTTGGACCATGGTCTTTATTTCATTTTATTTGACTATTACTTTAAAGACTGATAAAAAGTGTGCATATCTGTGGAATTAGGAACAGGAATGACATCGCCCTTTCTACACTTTTAACTCTGCGTTATTTGTGCCTGCTCTGATTCATGGTATCGGGATACCTGGTGTGGTTTCTATATAAAAATACATTGGACATATAAAATAAACATATTTAATTAAAATATAACACAAGCAGGACTTAGCAGAAATATC